ATACAAAAATAAAGGTAAACACAAAGAAGGGATGGAATATGACAGTAAAGATGAAACTTGTAAAAGGTTTTAAAAAGGGAATTGATAAGATAAATTGGTTGAAAAAAGAAAAAAAAAGGAGAGAATGTGATCAGGCTGGAGCCTAGAACAAAGCCATATGCTAGGTCAAGGGTATATTTTGGTCTGTTAGAAGAAACTATATCCCAAAATTTTAAAGAAAAACTTACATGTATACAAAAAATAAGGTTAAATACAATGAAGGGATAGACTATATTATGTTATATGTTATGTTATGACTATAACAATGAAAATTTAAAAAGATTTTTAACAAGGTTGATAAGATAAAATAGTTAAAATAGGTTAAAGTAGGAAAGAGGAAAAATTCAAAAAAAATAATGAAAATTAAAAAAACTTAACTTTGAAAGACTAAAGGATCATGGGGGAAAGGCCATGAATTTTATGTGTTGCTTTCCCCTAGCTCTAGAGTTCTGCAGTTCTCATTGACTGGTAAACTTGGTCTTGGCTGGATATTCTTGCTGATCTTCTGGGGAAGGCACCTGTTGCAGTGATTCTCAAATGTCTTTGCCTGAGGTGGAATTGCACCCCCTTGCCACAGTCCAGGCTAAGTAATCTGTTCAGGTTTGCTCTCAGGAGCTTTTGTTCCCTGAACGCTTTCCATACAGCTTTGGAGGACGGGAATGAAGATGGCAGCCTCCCAATCTCCAGCCCAGAGGAGATGAGAACTCAGGGCCCCACTCTTCAGTGAGCCCTCAGAGAAAAGTAGTCAATCCCTTCCATCTCCCTGGTCTCTGGTCGTACTCCAAGCTCACCCAGCCTGTGACCAAGCATTTCTATCTCTGGCACACAGCCCCATTTGGAGTCTCCAAACCCAACAGATTCTTGCAAAGTGCTCCTATGCTGCTGCACCTGGGGGGGAGGAAGGTGAGTATCCCCAGGTCCATCCTTTGTTGGACCCCTCCTCTAAGAGTAGTGGCCTGTCTGTGCCTCGTATCATGGTTTAAGGTAACCCCAAGTTGAGAGCCATTCCTCTGCTCCATCTCTGTAGCTGGCTTCCCTGCTCTGATACCTGGGAGCTCTGCAACACTCAGAGACCCCTGGTCTTTCTGTGACCCTGAGGGCCCTGAGACCACATAGACCCGGTGAGGATTCCACCCCCTGCCTAGCCACCAGAGTGACATCCCTCAGGGGAACAGACTTCCAAAAGTTCTGACTTTGTGCTCTGCTCCTCTCTCACTTGCTGATTAAGTGGCTGACAGAGGCTCCCTCTCCCCATGGTCTATCTTCCAAATATCACCTTGGATTCTTTTCTCTGCATGTCCTACCTTCCAGAAAGTGGTTGCCTTTCAGCTCATAGAATTGTTTCTATTCTTCTCTTCGATCTCCTATTGAGATTGTAGGTGTTCAGAGTGGTTTGATAGCTATCTAGCTGAATTCCTGGGACCAGGAGATCTCCTACTCCTCTATCATCTTGCTCCTCCCACAGGATTGTCCATTTGGATACAATGTTAATTTAAGGATAATTATTTCCTCCTTCTTTGGCCACTTCCTGGTCACCAACTGCAAATGTACACAGAAAAAAAAATTAAAAGTCAAGATTCTTGTATTTCTAGAGATGTGACAGTGTAAATGAGTGATGTAGCCCCAAGAAACTAAGGTGACTAAAGTGGCAGCTAAAAGGACAGATTTACCCAGTTCCAGAAGATTGTTGCTATACTGGTAGGAAAATAGGTTTAGGTTTTGTTTTCAAGAAAAAAATAGAGATCTAAAGTTTTATGTGAAATCTCCCTTGTTGAGAAATAATATACCTTTTGTGTTGTATTGTCCATACCACATAAAACCCATGACACCATATCCTTGCCTTTGCCATAAAAGTCGAACTTTCTGGAGTGATATACCCTTTCCTTCCAGGTCAGTTTACCCTACCCACTCTGTACTCCCTCTTCCTGAAACCTCACTACTCCCATGGCTTTAGTTATTAGCCAAGTCCCAGACTTCTCAACTGAGCTTCTGAGTAGGCAGAAATATCTAACTTTCTACATCTGGCTGGTATCCCAAACTCACCATGTCTAAAACGGAAGTCACTATCTAATCTCTCAAATTAATCCATTCTTCCCCCATATTTCTTATTTTATTGCATACGTGACCAACTGCCTTGTTTGATAGGTACCAAACTACCCTTACTTTTCCATACCCCATTAATTCCAAGAAGTGCCAATTGTTAACACACATCCCATTACTCACTTCTCTCTAAATTCACTGCTAGTACTTAGTGCAAGTTGTTGCCATCTTTTGCATAGAGTATAAACTTTTTTTTAAAAGATTTTATTCATTTATTTGACAGAGAGATATCACAAGTGGGCAAAGAGGCAGGCAGAGAGAGAGGGAGGGGGAATCAGGCTCCCAAATAAGCAGAGAGCCTGATGTGGGGCTCGATCCCAGGACCCTGAGATCATGACCTGAGCTGAAGGCAGAGGCTTAACTCACTGAGGCACGCTGGCACCCCTTGCATAGAGTATATTGGTGATATTTTTACTTAATTTGGGGTCTGTAGCTGTCATACAAACGGGAAAATGTATGTCAAACCTCAGGCACAGGGTGCCTAGGTGGCTTAGTTTGTTAAGCAACTGCCTTTGGCACAGGTCATGATCCCTGGGTCCTGGGATCAAGTCCTACATTGTGCTCCCTGCTCAGCAGGGAGTCTGCTTCTCTCTCTCTCTCTCCCTCTGCCCCTCCTTCCTGCTTGTTCTCTCTCTCTCTCAAATAAACAAAATCTTAAAACAAAACAAAACAAAACAAAAACCCAGAAAAACAACATAAAAACCTCAGACACGTTCAGCCAGTGAGATACTCAGACTATGGAAAACCGAATGTAGGAACTATCGTTTCCTAGTTTCTCCCCATGGGGGCATCCTCTCTCTTCTCAAAAGCTATTTAAATTGTTCTCTCTTGTTCTTTCTATTTTCTCTTTGTCTAGCTGACACAGTTGCATTTCCAGAAGTTAAATGTTCATGTGGTGCACATCCAAATCCTGCAAACATATCTTTAGTCTTGACTGTTGCAAAGAATGCCCCAATGACTCAGGAATGCCGATCTCTTTTTGAGTTAGTGCTTTCATTTCCTTCAGATAAATAAATACCCAGAAGCGGAATTGCTGGATCACATTGTAGTATTACTTTTAATTTTTGGAGAACCTCCATACCGTTTCCATAGTGGCTACACTGGTTTGCATTCCCACCAACAAGGTGCTAGGTTTCCCTTTTCCTGCAGATTTTTAGGGTTGCCTCTTATTCACCCTTTGTGTCTCAATTCAAATATCATTTTCTCAGAATGATCTTCCCAACACTCCCAGCTAAGGCACTCATTTCACTGAATGGCATTATCACTTTACAGTTTTTCTTCTTCAGAAAGAACAGCACCTGAAATATTTTTTATTTGTTTACATGATGAATGTCTACCTGTCCACATGAAGGCAAGCACTTGTTTACTGTTTACTAAAATACTTTCCATTTCCAGAGTAACAGCACATAGTAGGTGTTCCGTAAATACATTAACTGACTCTTTCTGAATATGCAGGTGCATGCTAATTAAGCCTTCAGTATCCTAAAGACTTAAAAAAGATTACACACTGTCAAAGCAAATGTGTGCTTTTCTGAATGTATCTAGTGACCTCTGCTGGAATTTTAGAGGACAATATTCAGGAATATGGAAAGCAGATAATTTTTCTTTTTCTGATTCCTCTCCAAATCTTATTACAGAAAATATCCCCTTTCTCTCTTTCTCCTCTCTCTTTCTCTCTCCCTCTCTCTCTCTCTCTCTCTCTCTCTCTCTCTCTCTCACACACACACACACACACACACACAGAAGAAGAGGATTCACCCACATAACATGGATAGAGGAGGATATATCCTGTGAACAGATCTCAGATGATTCCATTTATTTCCCTCTTCTTGACTCAAAGGAGTAATTTTGGTAATGGCATTCACTATTTAAAAGAATTGGTAAAGGGTGTCTTCCTGTTGGAAATTATAGGATCGAAAGAGTTACATAGGTCTACTTTGAGGGTCATTAGGAGATGATGTGTTGCTCAGAATGTTGGTACTTGAGGCAAAAACCCCGAATGAGAATTGAGGACCAGGAATTTCAAAAAGTCAGAGTAATAGAGTGGGAGTGAGTAAAACAATCATCAGGTGATCTGATTAAACTTTTGAAAACAGTTGTTTTTTTTTTTTAAATTATTGTTGACCAGTCAAGATTAAATTCTTTGTATGTTATACCAAAACACCCACTGGAATTTATACATTTTCATAGGGAAATTTTTAAGAAAATTAATTAAGAGGAGGGGAACCAAGACCTATGCCTACCATTAAAATTTAGATTATAAATGTAGACTATAGTAACTAGGAATAATTTTTTAAATGCTCTAGAAACAGGAACCAAAGCATACTTAGGAAATCTAAAGGGATTTAAAGCATAGAAACGGTCCCAGCGAATTCTTCATGGAATCTAGAGTGGTCTGCAAACTTAAAAAGGGGAATTGCTAATCTTGGATCACTTTGGAAGTGATGAAATAAATACTGATGACTGCATGAGTCTAGGAGTTTGGTCAAAAGGACAAGGGCTAAAGGTCTGGATTTGTGTCGTGCTCAGCCTATGAGGATTCCACCATCCGAAGGGGTGCTTGCTTAAGCCCCGAACCCGAGGATTTTACGTGATTGAGTTGCTTAGGTTGATACTGATTGGAGATACTGTCCTCCCTGGACCTGCCCAGAAAGACTGTAAAGAGGAGCTGAGAATTCCTGCTTAAACTGAGAGTTCTCTGGGAGGCACGTTAGATTTTGTTGGACTGGTTTACACCTATGAGAAGTTACCCAAGTCTGAGATCTTTCACCTTGAACCTATACAGCTCTCAGCACACTGCTCCTGGGATCCCAGTATATTGAATAAAGGATTCAGAAAAGCTTCAGAGGACTGGAAAAAGAATGCTCCGAGGCCGATCTCTATCTGTGACATCCCTGAGTGGGCTTCCTCGGTGGGAAGTTGAAGAACTTCCTGTGGAAGATTTACTGCTTTTTGAAGTCGCTTGGGAAGTAACCAATAAAGGTTTGTACTGCCCTGGAAGGTGGCTATTTGCCAGATTGGTGAAGAATGTAGATTAAGATATCACAGGTGACTTTAGTGAGAATGAATTGACAGGGAGGAGGAATGTAAACTTACTGAATGTCAATTTTGGTTAGGTTTAACCTTGTCTGTTTCAACAGGTGGCTATAACTTAGATGTGGCTGTGTGTTGGAGGGAGAGAACGTTGAAAATACTACTCGTTGCCAGGGAATGTGCATTTAAACTGAAATTTGAAATACAGGTTATGACAAAACAGGAATAGAGAGCTAATATTTCATTTTTCGGTTTATGATTTCTCTCAACAAAGAAGCATAACCATGTACTTTATTTTAAGGAGAACCATATGCGATTGGAACCAATGACAAACTTTAATGTCATATACTGTAAAAGGTTATATGACATACTTAGTAATATTGCTAATAATTCACAAATAGCTTGGAATTACAGTTTTAACTTAGCAGCTGCTCAGAAGGCATTACGTCAAGGTCCTATAAGAAGAATGAGAGTATTTCAAACTTAGAAGAATTATATTTGGCATCTGTTCTAATTTTCACCTTATGCTAAGTGTTCAGAGTTCTCACATGTACATAGTCATAAAATTCATAAAATCTCTTTTTTAATAAAATTCACAAAATCTTGAAATCCCAAAAGTGAAAATCAATCCTGCTTATGTACAAATGCAGGAAGGAATGTGAGAGAACAAAGCAGTCTTCTACTCTGTAGTTTAGTGAGATGGAAACAAAGAGAGCAGAAACCTTATTACAGAAAAGTGTTTTATGAAGAGCTGTATCTAATGTACTTTTTCCTATGGTGTTTAAATATGTCCACAGTTCCAGGGAACAGAGTCATCTTTGTTATTCATAGATCCCAGAGTAAGACTTGAAAGAAGGTTTTTCTCTACAGAGTAGGCAGGAACTCAAGGATGTAGCTCGTCAGTGGAAAAATTGGGGGGGTTCTTTAGCACCAAGAATCAGTTCAGAGGACCTCTGTGTGTGTTCCAGCACCTAAACAGAGTTCTTCTCCTTCCTTCTTTCTTCCTTTTCTCTCCATTTAGCAAACATTAATGGAGCATTGTTTGTCGGTGCTAGGAATACACTGGTGAGCACTATTATCCCATGGAATTTACATCCAGGTCCTGTGTGGGCTGATCTCAGGGCCTAGAACAGTGACTGGTGCACAGAAAATGCTCAATGGATTTTTTTTCTTTGGAATGAAGGAATGAATACATTTTGCTTTCAGCCCTCACTGCCTTTGAAACCTATTTTCTTTCATTTCCCCTACAAGGGAAAGGAAATTTTTTGTGTGTGGAGAAGGGAACAACAAAATTTTACCCAGCTAACAACATCTCCAACATGTCTTTAATACTTATTACAGTCATATCTTTTAGAAAGTTTTATATAAATGGACAATTATTGTGTTCATCCCTGACAATACATTGACACTATACATAGCTTTTTTTTTTTTAATTTACTTTGAACTTTTACTTCTCTGCAGTTCATGGCAGTGATAGGAGGCATCTTAGAATCCAACTCCTCTATTTCAAAAATGGAATGGATGACTAAGGCATTAAATGATCAAGCAAATGGAATGGTTGGGACTAGCATTTAGGTCTTCTTCAAGGTCACTTCTCTTTTTTACTACCCACAAGAATTAAAAATTAATATCATTGCCTAAGGAAATGCCCTATAGATGAAAGAATATAGGACTTGCGATCAAAGGCCATAAATTTCTAAGACTTTGAAAAAACATTCTTTAAACTGTCTGAATATCAAGTTTCTTCATGAATGAAATAAATGTACTATGATCCAGACATCTTATGATGTTTTGTGGCAAACAAGGAAATCTATTCATATCCAAGGAAACAAAAGATTTCTGACAGGGAAAAAAAATCCCATTCTGCTAGAATTCTGTCAGTATAAAATAGACATGTGTATAATATAAAAATGAGAGTCACAGTTAAATTACTGGATATTAATTCTCAGACTTCAGAATAACACTTTATACTTGTTCATATTACCCTTGGCATTTATTGCTTTTATTCATTTATCCATTTATTATTGCTATTTATTTATTATTCAATAAAAATTCATCAGGTGTTTATTAGGTGTCAGGCACTGGGAAATGAAGAAGATAGAGCTTTACAACACAGAATTGATTCCCAGTCTTCCAGAATTTACAAACTTGCAGGGACATTGAACACGCAATTATAGTCAAATGTGATGACAATAAGAATAAGAGAAGGAGGGGGTCTAAGATATACACTGAGAACCCACAAGAGACTCTTAACCATAGGAAACAAACTGAGGGCTGCTGGAGAGGAGGAGAGTGCAGGGATGGGGTAACTGGGTGATGGGCATTGAGGAGGGCATGTGATGGCATGAGCACTGGGTGTTGTATGGAACTGATGAATCACTAAATTCTACCTCTGAAACTAGTAATACACTGTATGTTGATTAATCGAATTAAAAAAAGAAAAAGACTACACATTGGGGGCTGGGGAGGGGAGGTTTCTACCTAAATCGGTGTTAGGGAAAAACACCTCTGTAGGGAAGAGACAGTTGAGCTGACACCTGGAGGAGGAAAAGCCACTGGGTAAGGATGAGGGAACAGGGCTATATGTCAATATGCAGAGGTGATAGAGTGTACTCTTCAAAGATCTGAGGGAAGCTCAGAAAAAGGAAAGGAGTGGAGGGGTGGCTGCGGATGGGAAGGACCAGCAGGGGGTAGTTTGTGAAGTTTATGATTAATGATGGGAAGTTCTAAGTAGTGGGAAGTGCTAAGTGGTCTGATGTGTTTTTGAAAAACACTATTACTAGTTGCATGAGCGGATAGCAGGAAAGAAAGAGACAAGTTAGAGACTGCTGCTTGGCCTACGATGAAGAGTTTTACACATATGTCAGAAAAAAAAGTTCACTCTTTCCTTTGTTTGTGCCTCATTGCAATGATTTCTTCTCCACAGACCTGCCCAAATCAAAGTAGACTAAGGACCAATTATTATGTTGAGGATATCTGAGATTATTAAAAAGACCTTAATGAATATTGACACAAATAATGATTTCTAATTTAATACATGTGAACAACTCTGAAATGTAGTTGCTGAATGAATGCTCTTTTTAAAAATTTACTAAAAATAGGGGTGCCTGGGCGGCTCAGTCAGTTAAGCATCCAACTCTTGATTTCAGCTCAGGTCATGATCTCAGGGTGGTGAGATCTAGCCCTGAGTCAGGCTGAGCACTGGGCCTGGAATCAGCTTGGGGTTCTCTCTCTCCTTCTCCCTTTGCCCCTTCCCTCACCATGTATGCGCTCATGTGCTCTCTCTCTCTCTTTCTCAAAAATAAAAATAAAAATAAAAATAAAAACAGTTCATTTTCACCCAAAGCCCGCAAGTAATATAATACATATAATACTTCTACTTTCTCCCTCCTCAAACCAGACACCATAGGTCTGGGTCACATGGTGTGAACAGCATATGGAAAAACATGAAGACTGCAGTCAGAATGGTGTGGTAGAAACTGATTATAATTGTGAGTCTGCTCTTTGAGGCAGAGGTTCTGAAGGTGGGACTTTGAGAAAAGTGGGCTTCGAGGAGTTTGTAAACCTTTAAAATTGTATCCGAAAATGGTATGTGTAAGTCCTCTTTTGGGGAGAAGGACTGAATGCCTTCATTAGATTTCCAAAACCCTCCATGACGGATGTGAGAACCTGCTTGCTAGCTACCTAAGCCCTGGGTTCCTTTTCGTTAACCGGAAGCGCCAAGAGCCAAAATGAAAACCCATTTCCCATAAGTATTGTTTCCCAAATGGCTTTTCTCTAGGGCAGAATAGAAAGGATTCCACCTTTCCCAAGACCTAAGATAACTGGTTTTTCTGCGACACTGCTCATTTTCTTCCTCTGTCCCGCCCACCCACCGCTTTTAAAAATCCATCACTATATTGCTCCAGACGGTTCTTTACAGTTTGGCTGTCTACAGCCTGTGGACTCTAGAGTCAGACTTCCTGGACTGGAATCCCAACTCCATCATTACCTGTGTGATGTTGGATGGGTCTCATAGCCTCTCTCTGCCTCAGTTTGCCCATTTAAAATAAAGGTAATAATAGCACGTATCTATAATGGTGTTGTGAAAACTAAAACAAATACCAACTGTAAATCACTTAGAACAGGAACTCGCATTTAGTAAATGCTCTGGTGGTGTTAACTTATTATTATTTCTTCATGAAATGTATTCATCAAAGGAGGAAGTTGGGTCATTCATTTTTATACTGCCTTTCACTTTGAGCAATTCCATGATTCTGTTTTCAAATACAAAACCAGAAAGGGGGGGGAGTTATAGATCAGGATTACAGTAAGTAGGGGTGATGTCCCTTTGCCTGGCGTGGATTCATGGTGGCCGTGTCAGTGGCATCCCGAGCCTCACCACAAGAAACACAATCCATGCAAACACTATGCTCCGCACATCCACAGCTTCAAGAGGAGCCCTGTGTCCTCACTTCCTTTTCACCCAGATGACCCTGTCTGAGCCCCTCCTGTCGAGAACATTTGCATTTACCATTGTGGTACAGTCAGGGTGGAGTTAGCTATTGGCTTGCTATAAGCTGTCATCTCCCACTGCCCAAGACTGCTGATGCTTTATTTTGAAGCCACAGACCCAGCAAAGCTCTGGACACATCAACATTTGTTGACCATGGTCGTCTTTCCTATCAGGTTTGATGCCTCAGAGAAGGATGTCTAAGTGTGGAATGACTACTCTTGTTCTGCAGCTGTCTTGAGATGGGAAGGCCAGATTAATAGCTCTGTATACTGAAGTCATATAACTTCCCAATTCTGTAACTTTAATTTTTTTAATTTTTTATTTTTTTAAGATTTTATTTATTTATTTGACAGACAGAGATCACAAGCAGGCAGAGAGGCAGGCAGAGAGAGAGGAAGGGAAGCAGGCTCCCCGCTGAGCAGAGAGCCTGATGCGGGGCTCAATCCCAGGACCCTGCGATCATGACCTGAGCCGAAGGCAGAGGATTTAACCCACTGAGCCACCCCAATTCTGTAACTTTTAAACATTTTTAAAAGTAATGAAGATTGTCCCAGTTTATATATAAAATACAGTTGATCCTTGAACAACACAATTTTGAGTGCAAGGGTCCACTTACATGCAGATTTTTTCAATAAATACAGTACTGTAAATGTATTTTCTCTACACTAGGATATTTTTGAACAATATTTTCTTTTCCTAGCTTGTTTTATTGTAAGAGGAGAGTGTAAAATACATATAGCATACAAATATAGGTTAATTGTTTAGGTTATCAGTAAGGTTTCAGGTCAACAGGCTATTAGTTGTTTTTGTGGATTCAAAAGTTATATTTCGATTTTTGATTGCATGGGAGATTGGCACCCCAACCATCCCTTGTTCAAGGGTCAAATGTATATCCTTATTATATATAATATATAGAGAGTATAATAATATACAATATATGTGTGTGTGTATACACACACACACACACACACATATACACACTTTGGCTGCTGTCCACATTCCATACTACTTTGGAGTCCCAATTTTAGCAATATCAGCAGTGTTTCTATATGAAAACTTGGGGTTTTAGCTATCTCCATGGCATATGCCATAGGACCTCATCTTTTCTTTCTTATGAAAGGCCTGATACTTTGCCCTCACACAAAAGATAGCTCCCATGTTGTTTCAGGAAAATATAGATCAATAAAATACAAAGTACATGTTTGAAAGTGAAGGGTAAGTCAATTCAATGTAATTCAATGACCTACACCAGTAAAATAATAAATCATTAAAAAATATGTGTTGGGGAACCTCTGGAATATAGTCCAAATTTGAAAATAGGAATGACTCTATTTCTTTGCCATCACACTCACCTATAAATAGCATGCCAGGAGAGGAGTTTTGGGTAAATGTGGTATCTAGACAAAGTAAAGGCTGAGGGAAATACAAATATGGGGAGACAGGAAAAATTACAATGGACCTTGAGCATATGAAATAGTGGTAAGATGACCGCCCCATGGAAAGACTATATATGAAGTAGTCTAGGGGGGAATGATTCATTTACCATTAGGTCTCAACCAATATAGGATTGACTTTTTTTTTTTTAATTTTATGTTTTTATCCTGATACACTGAAAGAGCATAGCCATAGTATTTATGGACCCTCTAAGGTTACTTGGTGACTATTTCTATCAAGGTTGAAGGCCTCAAATGGGAAAAAGAAACAGCAAATCAACTAACAGTGTTTAATTTTGCGTCTCAATTCCCACACCTAATCATTTTTTTTTTTTTTTGCGTAAAGAATTTCTCTTCTCCTTTCGGTCCTTTATCAAATAAAAATGTGTTTGCATTTGCCCTAGTGTATTTGAATTTGAAACACATAGTCTAACAAACAAGGATGTCCTAAGATCTCTGGGCAAGATACATAGTTGCAAATAAAAGAGTTTTAAAAATAGAAATGTGAATAAAGCAAAAATAAATGCATGCCATCAGAACCTAATAACATAGCCCCTTTATAAGAAGAATGTGAAGAAAATAAGTCTACAGAAGAAATTATTTGAAAATTTTGTGTTTTTATGGATCATGAGTGTGAATAAAGCTTGTATGTATATAAATACATTGCTAAGATGTGGCTCAAATACTTTAAAGAAAAAAATTCTTAGTTGTTTTTGCAAATTTTTTCTCTAAATTTGTTTTCTTAACAAATGGTTTTGACAGTTCATGACATTTTCTGGAATTTGGAGAACTATTTAGGCATACTTGATTCTGGCTTCAATTTATGTAGCCTCAGATTTATTGCTGATTGGGTAATTGAATCATTTCTGTTCTGGTCTTTTCTGGAAGCCTCTACGTGCAGGGTTTACAGATCATCTTCATGTGTCCCATGCTATTTTCGTCATCTGCCATCTGAGTTGTGATTGAAAGTTCTTATTGTTCTTTGTTCAAGTGACAGTTTTAAATTTCTTTACATTTTCTGTAGCATGAAGTCTTTTCTTAGACATGGAGTTCTTAAAGACAAGAAGTTTATGTAGGCTCATGTGAAAACTGTTTGCATGAAATAATTACAAGTTGGGAATTCTATTAGCGCTACCCTTTTATGAGTTAATGAATCCTATTGGTATTTATATAACAGTACCAACATTTGCGTTTTGTGTCTCGTCTTAAAAGGCAGTTCACCAAAAAAGTATATTTTGAGTGGTTCAGGCTTAAAGAAAAATTTGCAGATGGCAAATTCTACCTTTTGGCCATAGATTATGACTATTGGTAAGATTTATCATTTATGTACCCCTGGGGCAAATAATACATTATATGTTAATTAAAAAAAGATTTATCATTTAAAGTCTAAATTATAGAAACAATTTAAGAGATACAATTGCTATCGAACCCTATATCCTGATGAATTGAAATAACTTACAAAAACTGGAGTAAAAATAGAAACCTTTTAAAAAAAATATACAAGTAATAAAATCACTTTAGGAAGTAGAGCTGAAGATTGGTGCCAGGATTTGTGTTGGCTCTGGGATTTCACAGAGCTTTTTTTTTTTTTTTTAAAGATTTTATTTATTTATTTGACACACAGAGATCACAAGTAGGCAGAGAGGCAGGCAGAGACGGAGACAGAAGGAAGCAGGCTCCCTGCTGAGCAGAGAGCCTGATGCAGGGCTCGATACCAGGACCCTGAGATCACGACCCGAGCTGAAGGCAGAGGCTTAACCCACTGAGCCACCCAGGCGCCCTCACACAGCTTTCTTGAGTTTTTTCCTCACCTATAGCTCATGGACAGAGTACTACTCAAGAAATTGATTCAGACTGCTTCATATTCTCATACTAGTTGATCACTTAGAGCCAGCACAAGATACCCTGCCTGAGTTTACCGAAGGTCTTCTGCTGGGTCCTCCCTATTCCTCCTGCCTAGTTGCTGTATCTCAAACCTTCTCTTTTGAATGCCTATTATCCTCCCCTTGTCCACTGTGCTCTCAACTTAGGGCCTTGGCTCTAACTCATGTCTTTGCCTAAAAAGTTCTTCTCCATAACTGCTTGCCTTATTTCTTCACCCTTTTAAGTACTTACTTGAATACTACATTGCACTGAGTCTTAGTCTTTGACACTGCTGCTACAACCTCCCTTTTGCCTCCAAGCTAAGTAATATTTTATCTCTGCTGAACAAATGAGCTAATTGAGCCTTAGACTGGTTAATTTAATGAGTTCAATTTAGTTGTTCCCAATTTTTCACCATTATAATGCTTCCATAAATAACCCAATACACATATCTTTTGACACTCTTCTTATTTCCAAGAGCAATATTCTAGATGTAGACATGCTGGATCCCAGGGTGCACATAATTTTTTTTTTCAGCGTAACAGTATTCATTGTTTTTGCACCACTCCCAGTGCTCCATGCAATCTGTGCCCTCTCCAATACCCACCACCTGGTTCCCCCAACCTCCCACCCCCCCACCCCTTCAAAACCCTCAGATTGTTTTTCAGAGTCCATAGTCTCTCATGGTTCACCTCCCCTTCCAATTTCCCTCAACTCCCTTCTCCTTTCTAACTCCCCTTGTCCTCCATGCTATTTGTTATGCTCCACAAATAAGTGAAACCATATGATAATTGACTCTCTCTGCTTGACTTATTTCACTCAGCATAATCTCTTCCAGGCCCGTCCATGTTGCTACAAAAGTTGGGTATTCATCCTTTCTGATGGAGGCATAATACTCCATAGTGTATATGGACCACATCTTCCTTATCCATTCGTCCGTTGAAGGGCATCTTGGTTCTTTCCACAGTTTGGCGACCGTGGCCATTGCTGCTATAAACAGTGGGGTACAGATGGCCCTTCTTTTCACTACATCTGTATCTTTGGGGTAAATACCCAGTAGAGGGTGCACATAATTTTTGACTCTGTGTTTTAATAGTCATGGCAGCAATGCCAAAAGGGAAATGAGACACCACATGAAAATATGTGTATGAGGGTGCCTCAGTAGCTCAGTCGTTAAACATCTGCCTTTGGCTCAGGTCATGATTCCAGGGTCTTGGGATCAAGTCCCACATTGGGCTCCATGTTCAGCCAGGAGCCTGCTTCTCCCTCTCCTCCCTGCTTTCTCTCTCGATATCTCTTCCTCTCAAATAAATAAATAAAATCTTTAAAAGAAAATGTGAATGTGAATCATTGGGCTTGACATGAGGGTTGGGCCAAGCATTCCCCCCTCAAAATCTATCATTTCTTTTCTCTTGTCAAAAGGTACCTTGTTGGATACCTTCCAAGGTAAATGGCTCTTTAGCTTGAAAGTTTTATTCATAATTTCAGTAGTGGCTGTTACTTGGACATACACTAGCCCCCTCTGGAGCAGTGTAGGAGAAGGAGTAAAAGGTAATTACAGATGCTGAGGGTGTGTGTCCTGACAATGGCTGTTGGAACCCACTTTGAAACTTCAGTGCAAATAGAGCTTTAGGTCAAGTTCTGCTTTCTTCTGATCATCTCTTCAGATTTCCTGAAAATCCTTGTGGTTTCTCGGCTGCTGCCAACCTGCTGTTCTATGAAATGCATGAACTGAACCAAATAGTAACTACTTGTTAGTGTCCTTTAAAAAATTTCTTTTAGAAAGTTAAGGAAACCCTTGTACTTGATAAATCCTAAATGCTAACTTAAAAATGAGAACTTGTTTCCATGCCTTCATCACTTACAATGAAATACTAACCTGAATGATAAGCTGAATCTTTTCTTTTTCACAGTTGGTGGCATCTATACTGTGATTCAGACGAAGGCCAAAACCACAGCAGATGAATGGGGAGACAATTATTTTCTGATTGGACCATATTTCGAGCATAATATGAAGACTCAGGTAGAACAGTGTGAACCTATAAATGATGCTGTTAGAAAAGCAGTGGACACAATGAATAAACATGGCTGCCAGGTAAGGGACACTGACTGAAACCTCACTCTGCAGGACTAGTAGACTGTTATAGGAGAACAGACCACCATTCACATGAACTCACAAGAGAAGACTACCTACCTAGGGAAAAGGAGCAGGTTTGTGAGAAAGAGGATGAATTTGACTGGAAATAGGTTACATTTGAGGCACATTATAAAAATTGTCAGGAAATGTCTAATAGAATAATGGGTTTGGAGCTCAGCAGAAGGTAGAGGATATACGTGTTTTGGGGAAAGTCATTTGTGTTTAAATTGTAGTTGACATTATTGGCATTGATAACAGTATTCAGTGGAAGATTATAGACAAAGAGCAAATGTTTTGAGCCAAACCTTTGGGAATGTCAACATGTTAGAACATCTACGTTAAAAAAAGAAGAAAGAAAGAAAAAAAAAGAACTCAGAGATTGCACAAGTACAAACACAGCTGGTGATATAGAATCAAGGGTGGTGTGCAAATCCTAATCCTCAGAACCTGTGAATATGTTAGCTTATGTAACAAAAGGATTTTGTAGATTTGGATCATGAGGTGGGGAGATTCTCCTCGGTTATCTAGGTGGGCTCGATGTAATCACAGGGGTCTTTATAAAAGAGAGGCAGTAGAGTTAGAATCAGAAAGAAGATGTGCCAATGGAAGTAGAGGTTGGCCTGATGAGCTTTGAAGAGAGACGAAGAGGTCACAAGCCAAGAAATGCCTGTAACCTCTAGAAGCTGGAAAAGACCAGGAAACAGATTCCCCTAGGGCCTACAGATGGACTGCAACTCTGCCAACATGTTGACTTTAACCCCAAAGACCTATTTCAGATTACAGACTCCTAAACCTGAAAGATCATAAATTTGTGTTGTTTTAAACCACTAGGTTTGTGTCTTAATCTGTTGCTGTCACAATAGCAATAGGTCAAAACAAGGGAGGAGAGAGTTTCAAGTATGAAGGAGGGATTAAGTCAATGAAAGGTTTAACCAATCTCAGTTAGGGTTAGCAATATTCAGGTCATTCATGGTAATCTTGCTAAATACAGCCTTGAGAGAGAAGAAAGTTAAATCAGATTTTAGTGGATTGGGGAATGAGTGAATGGTGAGGAAAAGGTACAGAAGTTGTGGCAATAAGATTTTTCTATGAAGAAAAAGGATCATTAAGTATGATTATATGACTGACTGAATTAATGGTTGAATTGATGAACAGTTGCCTTTGAAATGGATAGGAAAGGAAGCAAAGCCAGAAAGGAGGCAATGATGTAGGAAAAAATGGAGGGTTCCAAAAACTAGAGGTCTTGATGACAGAAAAAGGAATATATAAGCTGGGAGAAACAGAGTGAAAGAAGTGGAGGTATAGATGTTGTAGTCAAGTAACAGAATGCTCAGGCTGAATATTTCAGAGAAGGAATAGTCTCGGTTTTGACAAGGTTAACAGTGTAGCCATGAGCTTGTGTAGCTGGAATGTCATGGACATGAAGTTCTTTGAAGTCAATAAAGTCAGAAAACTATGAGGTTAACTATGTAGGATAAAAAATTGGATTTTGAAGTTGCCCAGAGAAAGGTGGAAAAGTAGCCAGATGATTAATGGGACAAGGAAAAGTAGTGTATTTGGATAACATAAATTTCAAAGATGTCTTTATACACAAATAAGTTTCAGTGTGATTTTTAAAGATCTAAACTTTCGGGGTGTCTGGGTGGCTCAGTCATTGAGTGTCTGCCTTTGGCTCAGGTCATGATCTCAGGGTCCTGGGATCGAGCCCCACATCAGGCTCCTTGCTTTGTGGGAGGCCTGCTTCTCCTTCTCCCACTCCCCGTGCTTGTATTCTTTCTCTTGCTGTCTCTCTCTGTGTCAAATAAATAAATAAAAATCTTTTTTAAAAAATCCAAACTTTCTTTATACTCACCCCAGGAATATAGTTTCTGGGGGTGAAAACATGAGAAGCCTTCACTGAGATGTCCATGTGAGTAGCAGTGTCTACAAGGTCTATGCAAAGCCTGAGAAGCAGAAGATTTAACTGAAGGGAACTTGAGGTCCCAGAAGGTACCAGGGAAACCTATCATAGTGAGTGTAGCATAGAGAACCTAAGAAAGTAAGAGAGGGATGCATGTTGTACTACTGGGATGAAAGAGTGAGACTTTGGAGGGGGCTTGTATTTGAAGCTCTCATGAAAGAAGACAGAGATGAAAAGCATAATGGTCTGAATGGTCTCAAAGTTCTAAACGGATTTCTGATGTAAGGATATTTCCGTGTCATAGCCAAGAAGTCACTGGAAGTCAAAAGAAGCTGGCTTACATTCTCCAGTGTCAATACTTCTCTATGATTTCAGCTCACTGTATCATATGTCGTACATTAGGCAGTTAGTAACTATTCATTGAATGAATGCATAAATCAATGAATGTCCTAAAGAGAAAACAACTGAAAAGGAAAACTCAGTCTGGAAAGGGAAGAGTACATGATGCTTATTAATTACAATGGAAGCAACCGACAGATAATGGGGTCTTTCAGAGTTGTCCAAGGCTAGATGGGAGAGATATCACCATATATTTCTGAGTCTTGTGGAAGAGAATAATGACCAAAAATGGGCTTTCAAATTCCCCAAATTCAGCCTTGGGTAGAGTCACCGGGTCAATATCTAAACAATGTGGACACATTCAGTTTATAGGAGAGGCCCAGATACCAATGAGAAGCTCTTATCTTTTGGCAACTTCCAAGAAGGGTTTGAAGTGACTACGGAGTTGCATACCATGTAATTGGAGAATCAACCTAAGTAAAAGTCAAGACAAAAGGATGAGTAAATTACTATAGAAAAATAGAAGCCAAAAGGAAAGTTAAAACTTGGATATACAAGTGATTATGTAATTACAATTGGGAAAAATGATATAGCTAATACATTAGAACTTGTACAAGAAAAAACAGGAATAAAAGAATTCAATTTGAAGAATGTAACAGAATTAGACTTTGAGCTGTTAGATTAAAGAGATAAAGTAACTTGGGCAATATATTTAGTTAAGACACCTGGCAGCACCCATGTTGGGAAATACTTTGTGTCACTTTTTTTTTTTTTCTGATAGGAGAAATGAGAGAAATCTTATACATTTGTTTATAGAAATGAATTTTTCTAGCGTGAAATATAGTCCTGTTACATAAAGTAAAATAAGTGACACTTTAGACATTACATCCAATACAAATCAAAGATACAGAGCAGTTCATCTTACAGCTCTATCATAAAAACATGGATGATATTAAATCCTAAAACCATGAGCTCTAGATCACAGGAGAGGAATAAGAAAAAGAAGGACAAAGATTGGGGCACCTGGGTGGCTCAGTAGACTGAAGGTTCGCCTTCAGCTCAGGTCATGATCCTGGGGTCCTGGGATCAAGTCCTGCGTCGGGCTTCCTGCTCAGCTAGGAGCCTGCTTCGCCTGTTCCCTTTACCCCTTCCCCCCACCCCCTTGTGCTGCTTCTCTCACTCTCTCATGCTCTGTCTCTCAAATAAATAAATAAAAATCTTTTTAAAAAGGACAGAGGTTACAAAATCTAGATACTTCATTTTTAAATGACCGAATTTACTGAAGGATAAGAACTTGGAGGTTTAGGTGACTAGATGCAAGCTCATTCCACGTTCAGGCTCAAATATCAGATGTTTTGTGTTACCACTACAGTTTCCTATATAGCTTGCATAGTTCGCTGTTGAATTCTAAATAAAGTTTATATGCTGTAAGCACATATACCGTTTTTCCCCTTGCGTTGCCTGGTATTACTGCAAAGCTCTGTGTTCTTTACGCGGCAGGTGCACTTTGGAAGGTGGCTGATAGAAGGAAGTCCTTACGTGGTGCTCTTTGACATAGGCTATTCAGCCTGGAACCTGGACAGGTGGAAGGGTGACCTCTGGGAAGCCTGCAGTGTCGGCATCCCTTACCATGACCGAGAAGCCAACGATATGCTAATATTCGGATCTTTAACCGCCTGGTTCTTAAAAGAGGTATACTTTATTGTATAGTCATACAACAGATGAGGAACGTAATTGTGCTCTGTGCTCAGCAATGACCCATGGTTTTTAGGTTATGCTAAAGGAGATGATGCCTTTGTGATTTTCCTAATACATTTCAAAAGAATCTGAGAAAATGTTCAGTCTTCCTCTAAATCCTAGCTCTTGGAACAGGTTAATATCATGCTTATTAATATATACCTCATGTCAGATTTAAATAGAATGATGTATATAAAACAACCAATTATATTCCCTGATACATAGATGGTAATATATATACAAGCAAAAACCTGCATATATCATGCACTAAAGACCTGAATTCTAGACTTATGGGAGTAGAAAATAGCTTGAAATATTTGGTTTTGTTTATGCATGAGTACTTGGGCAATCATAGTGGCTTTTAGGTATTTTCATCATTTTCTAAGGGCTGAAGTGATTTCAGCAGTTGCTAAGGATCTGTAGAAGTGAAATATCCTCCCCCAAAAAACCAACTTTCCCAAACCCCAAAAGACCCCAAGAGCATTAGATATCTATCCTTGTGAAATGAACCAAGCCCGCACTCTCATCAGTTCTCAAAGGAGGATTTCTTTGCATTCCTTGCATTACCTCAAAATGATTGTACTTAACTTAAACATCAGACGGTGAAGGAAGAGCATTTCTAGCAAAGTGAGGGTGTAGTCTGAGGACAAATCACAAAAGTGTTGGCAGCGCATCCCCTTGACCAGCCTTTCTTACAGGTGCAGTCTTATTCCAGCAGCCACGAAAGGCTGCTTTGAAATGAAGGGGAAGGTAGAGGGGCAGTCCCATTGCTTTGTGTTGGAGACAGAATTAGGAGAGCAGAGTGAGGGTGCTGAAGAGATCTGGCCTAATGACAATAAGCAGTCTTCTTGTAGCATCAGTTGGTGGAACCAAGTCTTCCTATGCAAACTGCCTCCTTGATCCAGGGACCTCGGGGCTGAGGCCAGCCTGTGTGTGTGTGTGTGTGTGTGTGTGTGTGTGTGTGTGTCTCCAAACTCTCTCTCCTTTCTGTTAAAGGGAACTAGAGAGGAGAGAAGCAAGAAAGTGAACGCCCCAGTGTTCTCTAAATTAAAACTGTTACAGAAACAGACATTTTCTTTGATTCAAAGGGCAAATAAAGACATTAACAGCCCAAGGCTCCTGAGCAAGCCCTGTTTCTGTAATTACCTCTTTGCTGCTACTGGTCTGTGCACTTGTTAATTACTATGAAAAACTTTTTGAAGAACAAGTACTTTAAGTTACAAAGGTTCTAGACTAAGTCAGTGGTTCTCAAAGAGTATTTCCATGGACCACCAGCAGTAGCATCACCTGCAAACTTGTAAGACATGCAAACTCTTGCCCCCAGCCCAGAATTAGATTACCTGGTAATGGGACCCGGAAGTCTCTACTTGACCAGCGTTCCAGGTGAACTGATGTCCTCCAAGTGTGAGAACTGCCTTCTTGGGTGAACTCTTGATTTCCCAGTTCTCTGCTCAGACTCCCTGAATGCATGTGTTATTGCATGATCAATTCTATTCCCACACTGAGGGAACAAGCTGTCGTAAGGGGAGTGGAATGTAAATACTAAACTGACCCCCTGCCTGGGTTTAGAACTAGACCCAGATTAGACCTGCGTCCTCAGCGTGTGACTAAATTAGGATTTGCTTCCAAGCAAGTTATTCACCTCTTTCTTCCCAGTTCCGTATTCTTAAAATAATGTTAGTTAAAGTGGTTTTGACTTCAATTACAGAAGATCCAAATAAGACTGACTTAAAACAGGAAGGTATGTATTATTTATTTCAAAAGAAGCTTGTAAGTGGGTAGTCCCCCTTGATCAGCTGCTCAGTGATATCTTCAAGGGTGTTATTGCTATTATTCATTTGTCCATTCGATGAATATTTATGGAGTACCTACTGTGCATTTGTTCTATGAGGCCCCTCTGTAGCTACAAAAGTAAGTCTGATTCCTTCCTGAAAGAGAGGATTATGCCATACAAGTATATGGGCTTTATGAGCATGCTGTAAATCCAATAAAATAATTCTGCTTTCTAAATCTGCATACTTCATGCTTACCTCTCTTTAGATTTTGCTAAAATTTACAGGCACAAATGATAACTTTCCTTCACCTGTGGGCCATGATCAAGATCAAGCTTTACCAACAACTTTTCTAAATGCTTCTTTTCTGATGTAGGTGACAGATCATGCAGATGGCAAGCATGTCATTGCCCAGTTCCATGAATGGCAGGCAGGAACTGGACTGGTCCTTTCTCGAGCTCGGAAACTTCCCATTGCTACAATATTTACCACTCACGCCACACTGCTTGGGAGGTATCTCTGTGCAGCAAACATTGATTTCTACAACCATCTTGATAAGGTAAAATGTTCTCCCTCTCCCCCAACCTCCACCACCTTTCTTTTCTGATCCTTGACGCTGAAGGATGAGAGTATTGATCCTTTCATTTCATCTGCCAGCCAGATGGCAGAAATGCCCTTTTAACTAATCAATATTCATGACAAAGCCTCCCCTGAAGTGACAGAGAGTTGTTGTGGTTTAACTTTGTCAGAGTGCAGTAGAGCATAGCGGTAACAGACCGGATGTGTGTCTACTTTGCATCAACCGATCCCAAATCCCAAAATCCAAAGAGGTATGGTGGGTGGAAGGGGGTTGCACTCCTGTGTATCCTAAAGCTGAGGAAACACCATGTGGAGCTGGGTTCACACGCCGCCCTGAGTGGCAGCTACACACCAAGACTTCCGGACATACAACTTGCCCTGTGGGGCTCCCTCTCTCTTTCAAGTGAAAACATGGTCAGATTTCTCCTATAACTTTGAGGTGTAGGTAGAGTCAGTGTAGGGGTCGAATAAGACAGCTATTTAAAACAGGGATGTGGGTCCTTGGTGACCAAAGAGTCTGGTTTCCTTATCTTAGAAGACTGCTGAACTCTATGACCAAAGTCATTCAGTTTTGACTTTTTCATGTATTTGCTGACAGTTAAATCAGATTAATAAAAATATATCTTTTATATAATATCAGTAACACCAACAAAGCATTTGAGTACCAGAAAGTCAGGGTTTTACAGATTTGGTCTATACTGACAATCAAATCAACTTAGCATTTGAGGGTTCCATTTACTATCAGAAAAATGAGGAAGTTGGAAAGTTGATTTCCAAAGAATTTCCCAGTTTAAAAAAAGTGCTAGGATTCTAGAAACAGAAAATATGCATGTGTGACTGTGTGTGTGTGTTTGTAAAACATGAACACTTAGATAATAATAGTGGAAAGAGTCCTACTATCCCGAAGACCCTTTGAGTGAAAGAAAGTTCTTTCTAACAAACTTCAACATTTGCAAAGCAGTGTGTGGTCCTAAAGAGAGCTTTCCTGTAAAAAGGTCAGCCTAACCTAAATGTCAAATTGTAAACATAAGATGTACATTTAAAATAAAGTCACCAAGGAATTCAGAAATCAGATCAAGGAAATTTCCTAATGGTCTATGGTAATGGTAAACTAATAAGGCCAAACCAATGATCTGTGATAGGCTCATCAACTTTGTTTCCCAGAAAAGAGCAGACTTTGATTTTTTGTGAAAGAGAAAATATTGGAGAGGCACATCAAATATTTCACTTCAGAATACCTAAGACCATTGTATGGTAACAATGAATAAAAACAACTAATAAAATTCATCAATATTATTGGCTGTTTTTAAATAACAAATGATCGGGGTGCCTGGGTGGCTCAGTGGGTTAAGCCTCTGCCTTCGGCTCAGGTCATGATCTCAGGGTCCTGGGATCGAGCCCTGCATCAGGCTCTCTGCTCTGTGGGGAGTCTGCTTCTCCCTCTCTCTCTGCCTGCCTCTCTGCCTGCTTGTGATCTCTCTGTCAAATAAATAAATAAAATCTTTAAAATAAATAAATAAATAAATAAATAAATAACAAATTATTATAGTGTCTAGTTACATATTACAATTTTATCCTTTGGCTCAAAGGTCAGTATTTACAATGTACTATCTTCAAATATTTATACCTTACTATCTTCACAATGTATCTCCCCAACTTAAAGCTCTTCTCTGGTTGAAATATATGAGCTTATCAGCCCTAGTCCACCTTGCTAGTAAAATATCCTACCCAGCGGGGAGACTAGTAGATCAAATGTAGTTAGGAACTAGATTTTGAGTGAAACTCATAATCATTTTTCACAGAAAAAGCCCCCATGATCATTTTCTACAGCATACCCCCCCCACCCCATGATCACAGCAGGTTTAGAATCTGGATGTTATATAATGACAATGAGTTATATGCATGAAATGCTTTTAAAAGTTCAACAGAAGAGATGAGTCATAATTTAGTCTTTGATGCAAGACCCAGAATCAGCTGCAGTATGCTTGGGCTCAGGCAAATAAACCTGGGGGAAGAATAGGAACAAGAACGAGTTCTTGGGTACCCAACTTTTAAAAACAGAAAGAGTAGAAAGAGTAGTATTTACCCAAATACTAATTGTCAACTGAAAATGTGTTTTCTGAATATCCAATTCACAGGACTTTGATGTTGGTTTAAGTTCTTAGTTAAATTTGTTAACTAAAATAGAATTTCAAGCATTTTCAACCAGCATATGAATCTTCTGAGACTCTCCAAGAAGATACTTTTTAAAAATTTTTATTTATTTATTTATTTGGGTGGGAGAGAGAGCATGTGAGCAGGGGGAAGGGCAGGGGGAAGCCAGGTCTCTGCTGAGTGAGAAGCCTAATGAAGAGCTCATAGCAGGGCTCCACGTGGGGCTTCACACAGGGCTTGGTTCCACAACACCGAGATCCTGACCTGGGCCAAAACCAACAGTTGGACCCTTGACTGACCGAGCCACCCAGGCACCCCTCCAAGAAGATATTTGCAAATTCATTCTATGAGTCCAGACATTGACTGATTTTCCCCCTCAGCTATCATGGCTACATAACTATAGCTTTAAAAAAAAAAAAAAAAAAAAAGGCCATTGACTTTCTTATGCTTTGGCCTCTCTTTCCTTGATGGCATCAGGCTTTCCTGGGTGGAAATGTAAGGGATGAAAAAACTGTGAAAGAACCCACAGACAGTTGCTTGATGGGTTTAACTCTTTCATCTGACTAAGTTTTGAGCTCATCACCTTTGGCCATAGAGTAATCCTCCTCTGTCAATGGATTGTGCTTTATTGATTAATATATACTTTGCCTCATTTTTTGTTCTTTTGTACACATTTTCCTGAATTCAATAAAAAGTAATGAGATACATGAAAATATAGGAAAGTAAGATTCTTTGTCAAAATAACCAGGACCAGATATGTCCTAAATGTTGGAATTACTGGGCAGAGATTTTATAGTGTTTTTTTTTTTTTTTTTTTAAGATTTTAGTTATTTGTTTGGAGGAGAGAAAGAGAGCACATGAATGGTGTGGGGAGGAGAGGGAGAAGCAGACTCCCCACTGAGCCAGGACCCTGGGATCTTGACATGAGCCAAAGGCATCCCCCACACAGAGATTTTAACAGACTATCATGTACATGTGGGAAAGTGGACAATATGTATAAATACCAGGGTTGCTGTAAACCACAGGTTTGGCCATGTATATAGCAGGCCTGGGAGGTAAGGGGCCCCACAGGACCAGGAAAAGGCATATGCCTGTCTTTCTGGGGACCTTTCTTGGGTTCTCCAGGCCTCTGCTGTCCTCCCCTTATATATCTGCATTCTTGGTTTTCTCATTTAGAAACCCTAGCTTCTTATCCCTAGATGTCCATATGTTAAATGCCATCCCACATATGAAATCTTATTCCTCTCCACAATAACAACAACAGCAATAGTAGTAATGATAGCTAAAGTTACGGGGCCAGGTGCTTTTCTAACTATTTGACGTGTGTTATCTCTTTTCATCTTCATAAAAGCTCCGTAACATAGGAAAAATTTCATACTTTTTCCAGAGCTAGTGTTCCTAAGCATAGGCTGTCTGTATCATATGTTTAAACAAACCCTTTCAGTGCTTTCCCTTGTACACAAGATAAAGGTTAACTTTCTAGCTTGTCTGTCATCTTATCATGTCTCCTACATCCTATACCCAATGCTGTAGTCCCATCAGGTATAATTTCCTGCACATGCTATGTGACTTAATATACATGTTCCTTAGGGCAGCTAATTTTTTAATCCAAATAAACTTTCCCCAAATTAAACTTTCATGTCCCAGTCCAAATGCCATTTTATTCATCCAGTCAGTTTGGAGGTACAAAGATTAATAAGTCCTGGTCCTTGCCCTTGAAAATCTTACACTCCAGAGGTGATGCTGACAATGCAAACACTTGCATAGCATGAGAGAAGTTTCTCTATTCTCCCCAGAGAGAATCAGCCCAACTCTGACCCTACACCTTCCTCAGGCACTTACTCATTTCTGCCTAACTTTAACCTGTATTCTCACTAATTTATAAGCTCTTTGAAGGCCACAGAAACAATAAATTACTCAACAAGTGTTGATAGGATGAGAGATGTGGTTGAATAAAAGACACCAGCCAAATAGAGCTTTTCGGAATACATCAGCTGATTAAAGGATGCCGTATAGAGCCATTCTTCAAACATTTTCAGAGAAATATTACAAATATTACAGTCAAGAAAGAATGCTCTAGGACTTTCTTCGTTGCAATCTTTAGAATCACCTAGTGAGTCTTTTTCAGTACTTTCTTCTATATAGCTCAGTAATTGTTGGGCCTGACTTGCTGGTCGAGCTGGAGTCTAAGCAGTATAAAAGCAGGAGAGTGCACAGGCTTGAAGTCAGACTGATTGGGATCATTTCAGGGCTCTGCTAAGACAGTTAATGAGAATGTGATCTTGTGCAGGTGTCCTAACCTCTGCAAGCTTCAATTTTCCCTCCATGAATAGAGGACAAAAAACAAACCTCAGTGGTTAATGAGGGTTAAATACGATACTTGCTTAGAAAAGAGCCCAATGCATAGTGTTGAGCTTCTAATACTCTTCTTTATGAAAAGCACCTGCTAATATAATGCCAAAAACTTTATATGTTTTTCTCTCTCAAACACTGTTAGTTTCATCTGCAGCTATGTGAGACATAACAACGTTCAGCAACTGAGCAAAATGGCAAAAGCTCACAACTGCTTTCAACTATTTAATTAATTGTTTGGTGCTTGGTATGTTGGTTTTTAAAGGTTTTTTTTTTAAAGTTAAGATGCTCAGAATAAAGGATGATTGCATAATCTAACATACCATCCAATTAAAGTAACTGTACATCCCCTTGAAATGATACAGTTGTGAGAGTTATACAACCCTAGAAAAGCATTTGTATCTTCTCTTTGTTGGATATCTTTTCAGTGAATTAGGGGTGATAATGATTATCCTTATTTTCAGTGTTGAGGCTAATGTCAGTTTTGTTTCTTTGTGTATGGGGGAAATATGATAAAGACCACGGTGAAAGGAATTAGTTCAATATTTATAATATGTAAGGTAAGTAAATATAATTAAAATACCAAACAATTATGAATTCTAGTAATAATAGCGAAGTAGAAATCTTTACTTAGGGGATTAAATAGCAGTTTAGAAGCAGAAATGAAGTGAACAGTAGTTATTTTTTAAAGATCTTGTTTATCTGCCAGAGAGAGTGGAAGAGAGAGAGTAGGAGTACAAGAAAGGGAGCAGCAGGCAAAGGGAGAAGCAGATTCCCTGTTGAGCAGGGAGCACGATGTGGGACTCGATCCCAAAACCCTGGGATCATGACCTAAGCTAAAAGCAGGTGCTTGACCGACTGAGCCACCCAGGTGTCCCTGAACAATACTTTTTAAAGCATGAGTGGCTGTGCATTTTAGTAATAGGTTTAATAAAAAGTTATCATTACTTTATTGTAAATAAAAGTCCTAAAGTTAAAAATAAAAGTCCTAAAATTAAAAAATAAAAGTCCTAAGACTTTACATAGCCTTGAGAAAAAACAATATATGATTTTGTTTTGCTTATATAGAAGGATCAGTACAGTTGATCCTTGAACAACATGGGTTTGAACTGTGTGGGTCCACTTTTACCTGGATTTTTTTAAAATAAATATTGTACAGTCCAGTAAATGTTTTCTCTTCCTTATGATTTTCTTACTAGCATTTTCATTTTTCTAGTTTGCTTTATTATAAAAATACAGTATATAATATATGTAACATATAAAATATGTGTCAATCAACTGTTTTTGTCATTGGTAAGCCTTCTGTCAACAGTAGACTATTAGTAGTTAAGTGTTGGGGGAGTCAAAAGTTAAATGCAGATTTCTGACTACACAGAAGTTTAGTGCCCCTAACCCTGTGTTGGTCAAGGGTCAATTGTATGAGAAAATGTGTATCAAATGTATATGTGCTTTTGCTTTTTCTTTTCTTCTTTCTTTGTTTTCTTTCTTTCTTTCACAGTTTAACATAGACAAAGAGGCTGGGGAAAGGCAGATTTACCACCGTTATTGCATGGAGCGGGCCTCTGTCCATTGTGCTCATGTGTTCACCACGGTATCGGAAATAACAGCAATAGAAGCTGAACATATGCTGAAGAGGAAGCCTGGTAATTATCTCTGAGTTTGTCACCTGCCTATCAGTCCTAAATGACATTAGAGTCTAAAAGTCTTGTTTGAAACAAACAAACAAAAAGCATAAAATAATAGAGGAAAAATTGCATTCACTATTACTACCCAAATCTTTACACGTTTTAATTGTCAATGTCAGCAGTTGTGTAGTAACACCAATTCTAAGCTATATCCAGAACACAGTAGTATTCAGTCTGTGCTTGTTGAATAAATGGGCCATCCTAGAAATGGGCCTATGCCCTACGGTTGTCACAAGTGACCTGGTGTGTGTAAGCAAGGTAACTTTTCTATTTGAAGGAAATGAAAGTTCAGAAAATATTAGAAATTTCTATGAGACTCTCCCAGTCCTACATCTTATGACATTGCTTCATTGGTCCTGTTTAGTACCAACTTATTGTTTTACCCCTCCCAAGACCTTGAAAGCTTTTCTGGGAACTATCCCCAGACCCATCTAGAGGTTGCAATGCCAAGAGGCCTGTTCATAAAACATGACCCTGTCACCTGGCCAAAGCTGATTGGTGCAGAGGTAGATACGCAGCATAAACCAGCCAATAAGAATGTTCCCACAGGAGGGAGTTCAAGCAGATGAGTCCGCAGGGAGGCACTCTTGAAGGATAGGTGTGTCAGCTTTGCAGCTGTTGGCAGTGTTCATTTTTCTTTTATGTTGTGTGGGATGCAAAGAAGGCTAAACTAGGGTCACCTGGGTGGCTCAGTCAGTTAAGTTCCCTACTCTTTTTTTTTTTTTTTTTTTTAAAGCTCCCTACTCTTAATTTCATCTCAAGTCATGATCTCAGTGTTGTGAAATCTCCCAGTGGGTGGGTTGGCGGGGTGGTCCCTGCTCAGCGGGAAGTCTGCTTGAAATTCTTTCTCCCTCTCTTCCCCTGCCACTACCCCGCACGCACGTGTGCACACACACACATGCACGTGCGCGTGCACACACACACACACACACACACACACTCTTTCTCTCTCAAATAAATAAATAAAATCTTTTTAAAATTGAAAACGAAAAGAAGGCTAAACTACAATGAAATACAATGAAAAACAAAGACAGAGAGGGCTCTAGATTCTCCACAGTGGTTTAAACTAATGGTTTAAACTAATTCCGGAAGCCTAGGTAAACCTTTGCCATGAGGCACTCGAGCATCCCATGAACAAATTCCTCATCATTGTAGGTAAGAAATTGTTAGTATCTAGTTACCCAGTGTTAACACTGGGTCTATTATTTGTTACCAAACAGTTCTAATGAATATATCTTCTTTCTTTAATCCTTGTGATCTTGTCTCTATTTGTCTTTCTTCCAGATACTAGTTGGATGTCTGGAGGAGGTATTTCAAGGTGCTAGATATATATTTTTTTTAAAGAAGAATCCAAAAAATTTGAATAATGACAGCATATAGGTTCTATGTTCTCCTTTTGTCTTTCCAAGTACTCCCTAGGGTTCACTTGGATTCTCACTGTCATGCCCCTTACAGAAGTTAACTCCATCAATATGCTATTTCTTTCTTGCATCCTTCTTGTTTCTTGTCTACAGTATCTTTTCTGTGCTTACAAAATGCTTTGGTTTTTTTTTCCTATTCTAAAATAAAACTTTCTCTTGAGGCTGCTCTTTTATCGAAAGTCCACACAATCTTATCCTTCCTCCTGCTGCCAAATACAACTTCGTTTGTGAAACACTGGAAAAGTTCCAGAGGAATTAAAGTCATAATAAAGTGATATTAATATACATTCTTGGCTTCTATATCTTTTTTGACAAGACAGCTGATTGTCACAGTGGATAAAAGTGTAGACCTCAGAGCCAGACTGCCTTAGTTTTATTTTAATTTATTTTAAAGATTTATTTATTTATTTTAGAGAGAGAGTACATGGGGTGTGGGGAGCAGTAGAAGGAGAGAAAGACTCTCAAGTCAACTCTGAGCTGAGCATGGAATCCGACACAGTGCTCGATCTCATGACCTTGAGTTCTAGACCTGAGGGAAATTAAGAGTCCAAAGTTTAGCCAACTGAGCCACCCAGGTGCCTCCAGGCTGCGGTGGTTTTGAATCCTACCTCTGTGACTTGTAATTACTTGATCTTGGGCAAATAACTTAACCTCTCTCTAGGTTAGATTCTTCTCCTATAAAACGTGGATAGCAAAATAAGTTACTTTATATGATTTTATAAAAACGAAGCTAATATTTGTCAAATACACTAGAGTCTAGAACAAAGCACTATATAATGTTATGGAAAGGGAAATACATTGTAAGAGGGGATTGTCTACTGTCCTATAGGAATTATTCACATGAGGGTTTTCACTAGAAACTTTGGCAACCTAAAATTGACTCTGCTGTGGAGTATAGAATTTGCCCAGTTACTTAGTAAAAAATCAGAAGAATTGGCAGTTTGCGATTGCTATGACCAGGAAGCCTGGGTTGATTTTCTGGAACCATTTCAAAAGATAGCTTGTTAACTCTAAAATATCCTTCTAAATGATGGCACACTTATAATTCTAGCTCAAATCTCCATTGCAAAAATGCCCATTGCCATGTGTTAAATTTTTTTTTTGACATAGCTTCTTTTTTTGAATTTCATTTGTTTTTGCAGCAACCTGTGTATTCAAGTCACTAGGTAGTTCCCATCTTGTACCCTGAGTCTCTATCTTTCTTGTCACAGGCTGATTATTCTGGAAAACCAAAAATGTCTTCCTGCTTGAGTAAAATCTTCTGGGAATTAGAAATAAAGGACTGCCTTTCCAATTTTCCAGATAGAACATTTCCCACACACTTGGCCAAACAAGATGCTAGGAGGTAGTTTCATGCACACCGTGGCCAGAGACACAACATGTGGAGGCAGACTGCATGGATTCTACTCCTACTGGTATTTGTGTTCTCTGACAGATTCCTTAACAGCTCTGGGCCTGTTTGGGTGTCTGAAAATGCAGATAAGAACACCTACCCTGTTGCTTCTTGTAAGGATTAGATGAGTTATATTTTAAAGCATTTTGAGCATTTAGAGCAATAGTAAGCCACCAAAAAATGAAAACTATAGTACTCATTATTTGTGCTTGTAATTAGATGTTTTGTTGTCCTAGTTAATGTTGTTTTGGTCACACACCCCTAATTTCCTATTTCAGCAGCTTATTCTGATGTTTTATGAATTTTTAGTTGTATGATAGAAACTAGAAATGTTAAGGAACATCTAAACTAGTTAATTAATTAATTTATTTTTAAATTTAATATATTAAAGCACACTATTTTGCTACAATGGTACCCTCTCTCAAAAGATTTCTGTGATTGGGACGCCTGGGTGGCTCAGTCGTTAAGCGTCTGCCTTTGGCTCAGGTCATGATCCCAGGGTCCTGGGATCGGGCCCCGCATCGGGCTCCCTGCTCAGCAGGAAGCCTGCTTCTCCCTCTCCCACTCCCCCTGCTTGTGTTCCCTCTCTCACTGTCTCTCTCTCACTGTCAAATAAAAAAAAAAAAAAAGATTTCTGTGATTATTATTATTTTTTTTTTTTTGCTTTTCCAGACGTAGTTACTCCAAATGGCTTAAATGTTAAGAAATTTTCAGCAGTGCATGAGTTTCAAAATCTACATGCCATGTACAAGGCAAGGATCCAAGATTTTGTTCGAGGTCATTTCTATGGGTATGTTCTTCTTTATTTAAAAAAACCTATGGCATAGAGAAAACAAAATTGTTATAGTAAATGTTTATCTTTCCCAGCCCCCTTTGAACTTTAACAGAATTTGTTTGTACATTTTGTTGCCGTTGCCTTATTTCATTTGAAACTGTTTTGTTTTGTTTTAGTCATCTGGACTTCGATCTTGAAAAGACTTTGTTCCTTTTCATTGCTGGGAGATATGAGTTTTCAAACAAAGGAGCTGACATCTTCCTAGAAGCCTTATCCAGGCTAAATTTTCTGCTGAGGGTAAGAATGCTATAGAACACTGTGTAATACTTTTACAGAAGGACTTCCTTCTGTGGGAAGTACAGAACTTTCTGGCTTCTTAAGAAGTTTCTAACAGATATATGATTGTGAATACTTAAAATGACAATCTTCTTCTAAGAACAGCTCCAGCCTTTCAAGTTCCATATTGGGATCGCCACTTTGTTCACTTGTGTATCTGTCTATGTTATCAGGTATTTTTTAAAGAGAGCCATGAGCTTATTGTGTTCTGTTTTAAGATGACATTATAGCATTCCTTCTCCTGTCCCAAGAGTTAACCAGTTGAGAGATAAATATGAAGAAATCAAGCAAATGGAGAACAAGATTCACCATTTTAAAAACCAATAAAGACTATAATGGGAGATGTGGCTTGTTAAAGGACACCCATAGGCTTCCTGATATTGAACCTGCTGGTAGACCTGGCTAGCTCATCACATTGCTGTGTTCCCCCAACCAAAGAAGGCAGGCAGAGGAACCTGCACCACACTGCAGGCAACCAACCAGTTGTTTTCTGTACAACAGGGAAATCACAAACAAATGTTATTTCTCTCCCTACTCACCAGCCACACGTCCTCCCTGAGAGTAAGAGTTTGAACTATGAAACCAGGAGATGTCCCACATCATGGAAACAAGAAGGGGAAAAGAGGTTCCCACTTCCATGTGGAATCCATCAATTTTTGTTCAGGAAGGTGGAACTTAATATAGGTTCCCCAATTAAGCCAGCAATAAAACCTGTACCAATAGAAGGAGCTACACAAAATGGTACCATGTAATAGCTAGTGATTAAAGTTATTGGCTTATATTCTAATCTTATCATGTAAAAATATAGAATAAATAACAATAAGCTATAGGAGACCAGTGTAGAATTTCAATCCTACTGAGATACCAAGACAACCTAAACTTCCCTGAGCTTGTACTCTTCTCCGGTTAATTTTTTTTCCTTGGACATAGATTTATTTTTGCTTTAGAGCAGACATCTTACCATGTATCCTGACAGATTTACTGATGCACCTTAATAAGGAAATAATACATTAATAAAAACCCAACTCTGTAAAATAAGACTGAAGACCACAGACATTATTCTAGAATAGGCCGGAATAATCTTATTCCATAATATTTCTGGTATGTATCTATTCAACAAGCTTTATGGGCTCAAAGTTATATCAAACATGTATCATGTTTAGCGATATTATTAATCAATTTTTCTATACATTTATTAAACAGTCACTTTATCTTTATGTATAAAGCAAAGGCCAATCACTATTCTAGATATCAAAGATCATTACAATACTTGAAGAAATTAAAAGAAAGCATTCTCTCTCATATAGTATATTTATTCTTTCATAGCACGTTGGCTACTCTGGAGTGAGTTTCCTAGTCTCTGACTTCCACAGATTATCTTAATAGACTGTCAGACCTCTGAGGGGGCCACAAAATATGGGTGCCCACACTTAGGAGACAGTCATTTCCAGAACACATGATCATTCATATGTGCACTGTTTTAAATGAGTTTATGCTTCCACTCTCACAGCTGTTTGGGTATGTCATTTCCTTCTGAGATGTGCTAGGGAAGAGGAAAAGAAAACAGTATAGAATCAAAAAACACCATTTTGAATCTTAGCTTTGCCAATAATCTGTGATAGGAACTCAAACAATTGAAACACTCGCACCACTCTTTCAGTTAGTGAAATGAAGAGCATGCTAGCTGTTGTTATTATGAGGCTTGGGTTAAGTTAAGCTTTTAAAGTCTCCGGCACTGCCTGCCACCAGAGGGCCTGGGCACATGCTTGTTCCTGTGCTTTAGGACCAGAAAAACAAAATGCAGCATTATGGCAAGACTTTTAAAGGAAAAGTGTAAGTAATCTATTTGTGCAAATTATTGTGAGTAAACTAGAAAAAAGAGAATGAAACAAAACTAAATCCTGATAAATTTTCCAATCTGAAATTTTAAGGAACTAATTTTGGCTTTGTAACATTAACTCACATTCATCTGACCTTTTTTTTAACCCCAGAAAAGCACTGTGATACCACTAGCAATTGCTATGTATTTTACCTGCTTAAGGAAAATATTTTATGTATGAATTTTCAAATTGTTAATCAAAAGATCACGACTAGGGACGCCTGGGTGGCTCAGTGGGTTAAGCCGCTGCCTTCGGCTCAGGTCATGATCCCAGCGTCCTGGGATCGAGTCCCACATCGGGCTCCTTGCTCAGCAGGGAGCCTGCTTCTCCCTCTGCCTCTGCCTGCCACTCTATCTGCTTGTGCTCTCTCTCTCTCTCTGACAAATAAAAAAAAAAAATTTTTAAAAAAAAAAAAAAAAAAAGATCACGACTAAAAACCAGATTTAAATTAATTATTTCTGAGTAAAGCTTCAGGAAGGTGGGTTTAATTTCTCTGTGAATCATAAATAAGTATTGTTTTTATTTAAAGATAATTTAAAACAGTATTTTTTTTTTAAGTTTAAGGTCCATCTGTTGATGTTTTCTTTTACCTTTGGTAGTTGACTTGTCGTGTTTCCTAATCCCCTACTAGATGCATAAAAGTGATGTCACAGTGGTGGTGTTTTTCATCATGCCTGCCAAGACAAATAATTTCAATGTGGAAACGCTGAAAGGCCAAGCAGTACGGAAACAGCTATGGTAATCTCATGTCTCGTAAACGCTCTCAAGCAATAAGTGTCAACAGATTTTTTTAACATGTGTAATTTCTGATATATGCCTTAATCTTTTTTCTTTAAGATATAATTATTATAACACATGGGCACCTGGGTGGCTCAGTTGTTAAGTGTCTGCCTTTGGCTCAGCTCATGGTCCCAAGGTCCTGGGATCAAGCCCAGCATCGGGCTCCCTGCTCTGCGGGAAGCCTGGTTCTCCCTCTCCCACTCCCTGTGCTTGTGTTCCCTCTCTCATGCTCTCTCTCTGTCAAATAAATAAATAAAATATTAAAAAGAAAACATTATTATAGCACAAAGGATACCTGGGTGGCTCAGTCAGTTGAGCTTCTGCCTTTGGCTCAGGTCATGATCCTGGGGTTCTGGGATCAACCCTCCACGTTGGGTGGGGGCAGGGAGGTGGTCACTGCTCAGAAGGGAGTCTACTTCTCCCTCTCCCTCTGACCCTCCCCCTCTGTTTCTGCTCTCTTCCTCTCTCACAAATGAATAAATAAAAAATCTTTAAAAAAAGATTATTATAGCACAAGTGCTGCTTGACTCTCTTCTCATAGGCTACTATGTCAGATTATGTAGTTTCTATCAAACTGTGTTATTATAAAAACATTGGAATGAGCCACCATGGAAGGATTAAAAACTCTGTAGAAATCTTTAAAGATAGGTCGAATTTATTTTTAATTTTATTGTGAAAATTTAAAAATGAAAGCTAAAGTAAAGACATTTAGTGTAATGACCCCCTCCATGCCCATAGCCCACATTCAATAATCACCAATGAATTTGCCATCTTGTTACATCTATACTTCCATCCACTACCCCACCCTGCCCTTTACCCTGGCCTGAGTATCATCAGGCAAAGAAATGTTAAGCTCTGTGGGCTGCTCAGGACGTTCTGCTGCCTCAGCTCTGGAGGTCTGAACTCAAGCTAAATTGGCAACTGGGAAAAATAATGGAAGAGGTTCCACAAAAGAAACCTGTTAATTTCGAAGGACACACTGACAAAACATCAGCATGGTCACACAAACAGATTTTAAATTGCAACAATGTTTAAATTATAAATCTTCCAATTTATACAGGGACATTGCACATTCTGTGAAGGAAAATTTTGGAAAAAAACTCTATGATGCATTGTTAAGGTAGGTGCTGAGACTACTTAATACTTCAAATATGTTAGGGCTTCATTATTCAAATTTAACAACTTATACACTACCATGTATTTCTTTTGTTCCAAATATAAAGGAATTATTAGCCTTTGAATATGTATTATATTATGGGAATGGGTTTTGTTTTACCCATCATCTGACAAATACTTATAAACAGGTTGTACAAATGTGAACATATTCACATAGACAAATTAGGTTCTAATTCAATGGGACTCTCATTAGGGGTTAATATGTCAATGTGAAACTGATGGAGATTTCATGAAACTTATAAGTCAAAATATATATTGACTTTATATATTAAATACCTATATTTATTCATATACTAAGTTTATATTAAGTTTATATTAAGTAATGTTAAGTAACCTATATTTACTTAATGAATAATAAACATTCAAATACATAATAAAATAAATGAATTATATAAAAGTATTAAAAATTCTAAAGAATTAAATCAAATCAAAATATATTATAAAATAATAATATATATAGAATATATGAATTTTATTAGAATATGAAGAGAAAGCTGGTTGTCTCCTGACTGATTGTGGCAAGGCATGCATCATTTTACCAGTAAAAATATCAAATTGTAGATGGACAGGTATGGCCACTTGTGAACATACTCAAGAGTAGCCAAATATGATGAAAGTGTCCTCCTGATGGTCAACATTAATGCTTTAAAAATGAGTTTTAAGGAACATCTGGGTGGCTCAGTCCTTAAGCCTTTGGCTCAGGTCATGATCCCAGAGTCCTGCCTGCTTTTCCTCTCCCACTCCACCCCCTGCTTGTGATCCTGTTCTCACTATCAATCTCTGTCAAATAAATAAATAAAATCTTTTTAAAAAAGAAGTTACAATTAAAAAAATTAAAAAAGGAATTTTAACTTTCTTCTATGCTATCAAAATTATTCTTTTATCAAACTTCTTCATGCCTTTGAGTGTCATCAGGAAACCATGTTTGCTTTATATTTATTTTTAAAGTGCTTAGAACACTATCTGACTCATGGAGACATTGAATTTGTGCCAGTTATTTTTATTTTTCTTATTAATATTATTTTGCCCCACAGAGGAGAAATTCCTGACATGAACAATATTTTGGATCGAGATGATGTAACAATTATGAAAAGAGCCATCTTCTCAACTCAGGTAATGAAGAAAAGAGTGACCAACACTCCCAAGATTGTTAAAATCAATTTAGATCAATATTTTAACTTATTGGAATGGGCTAGTTTGGGAAATATATAAACCCGGGAACTAGAAAAGTCTTTCTTATGCATTTACCTAAATGGCAACTTTACTTATTTTCTTTTTTGGGTGCTTTTCAGTGCTCTTTTAAAAAATTTCATGGAATTTATCTTGTATCCACTTAAAAATTCCTTTGGAACCAATACGTCCATTTGAAATTGGATTTGCAATTGCAATTGGGTATACAATTGCAATTGTATATTGCAATGACAACAAAATAGTCCCTAAAATCTTTGAAAAGCATGGCATTTTGAGTCATGATCAAGAAAAGGTGAATGTTTCTCAGCTGAGAGGACTTTTTGTAAAAATGGAAGATAGGCATGCACCAACATCTTGTCCTAACAGTGAGGCATTTGGTACCATCAGAGGACAGGCCTGCTAGAAGAATCCAGGAAAGGAGTTCATCTTGAGTCACGACTTCAGGACACCTTCATTCCAAACAGGTCTTAAGAGTGGTCAAGAAGTCTAGGCCTTTCATGTAGTGGCTGCAGGTGAGAAACAGAAGTATCATATGTTCATAATTCCCGAAGGAAGTTCTTCAAGCCTTTGCCTTCCTCTGAAACCTGCACAAAACTTAGTCATCATCATTAATGTCTCCAAAAGATAGAGGGCATAAAGGTTGGATGACATGTTGCCAATGACCTATTGTTGAAATTAGTCACACTTATTAATTTGTCCCACAATTGACATTTTCTTTCCTCTATGACTTCAGCGACAGTCTTTGCCTCCAGTGACCACTCACAACATGATTGATGACTCCACTGATCCTATCCTCAGCACCATTAGACGGATCGGACTTTTCAACAGCCGCACAGACAGAGTCAAGGTAGAACTAATTGTTTACGTAAGGCACTTCAAAATGACTTAGAATATACTTTTTCAGAATTTATCAGAAGACTCCTGTATTTGTTTTGATACCTTTCAGAAAGATTTCAAATGATATTTCTAAAAAAAAAAAAATTCTGTTTCCTGTTTTGGGTAATTAAAATATAAAAGATAATGACTATTTTAGTATCATTTGTAAGATTGTACAATATCAACAGTAAGAATAGGAAATTTGTTTAATTTTTAATGATACAAACATATTCTAAGAATTGTTTTTTAGATTCACTAAGAATTTAGTGAATCCCTGAAATGAAAATGAATTTTCTTTGTTTCTTCTTAATAAAGTTCAACTTTAAGGGGATAATACGAGAAGCTTCCAGTTTCAGAGAGTGTGGCTCATGATATTTTTATGGAATTTTCTATAGACCAATTCATTCTGTTGACACTTGAGTTTCTAAATGATTAAGCACAGTGTGAGTTGTATAAATGAGACCTGATTTCTGCTCCTGTGGAGCTTAGTCTCTCAGGTGTGTACTGAGGGGGTACTATGCTCAGGCACAGTGCTAGGTGTGGGCATAATGGTGAACATATAAACAGACAGTTGCTTATCTCTACTCAATCCCATTCAGCAGTATTTAAGATCAGGTTGTCACAAGCTTTTACCAATCTTTTCAAAGGTCCCACTTTTTCTTCTTTCTTTCACCTTTAGCAGATAACCTGAGAATTTAGCATACAAACTCCTTAAATGTTCCTCAATTATAGATCTTTTACCTATTCTCACTTCTTTTCCTTTGGGTTCTGAGGATTGCTCTAGGATCTCATTCCCTCTGACATTCTTGGGAAACTTACCCTGTTAACCTTCCCTTATACTGCAGGTTTACTAGCTCCTTCCCTTGCTGTCTACCAATATTCCTTAAATTTTCTCACATTACAGGGACACCTGTGTGGCTCAGTTGGTCAAGCGACTGCCTTTGGCTCAGGTCATGATCCTGGAGTTCCAGGATCAAGTCCTGAATCAAGTCCCGCATTGGGCTCCCTGCTCAGCGGGGAGTCTGCTTCTCCCTCTGACCCTCCCCCACTTCATCATGCTCTCTCTCTCAAATAAATAAATAAAATCTTTAAATTTTTTTTTTCTCACATTACAAAGCAAACAAACTTTGCTTTAACCTGGTCTTCTCTTGATGTTTTTGAATATTTTGGTCTTTTCTATTCTTCCCTGCAAAATCTCTTGGAAAAAAAATAGCCTATTTGTAAATTAATTCCTCCTGCTCATTTAGTATTCGGTATAGGCATGAGTAGATGTGGTGGAGGGAGACAAGTTAGGGACCTTCTGCCACAGAACAGGTAAGAAATGATAAGGGACCCTTACAAAGGTCATGCCGGAAGTGCTAGAGAGGACAGAATAATGGGAGAGGCAGCTGCATATAGAAAAGATCATACTTTGTAACCAAAGGTCATTGGGAGGGAAAAAGAGGGAGAAGGCAAGGACGATAACTTTCTGGCTTCAGTATTTAGTCAGTACTATCTAAAAACTAAGGAAAGGCTTTATCAGATTTGAGTTCAGTTCTTGGGAGATTGTGTTTGAGTTATATGTGAGTTATTCAAGTTAAGATGTTTCATGGGTACTTAGAAAACATAAGACAGTCATGAAGTTGAGCTATCAGTGGAGGGGCAGTGGGATGCCAGGGAATGATGACCTTGCCATGCTGAAAGACCAGGCTGAATGAGCAGAGAAAAGTGTGGACCCAAGAAAGCCTCAAGATTTAAGAGGAGATTAGAGGAGGAAAAGTCAGTGCAAGAAAGGAGCAAGAATCAGAACAGAAAAATATCTCAGAAATCAGGGCAGGGGAAATTTTCGTGATGATCGATAGCAATAGCTCCTAGTACAGAACTAAATGATACAGGCTGGTTTTTTTTTAAGACTTTATTTATATGTTAGAGAGAGAGAGAGAGAGAGATTACAAGTAGGAGAGAGGCAGGCAGAGAGAGAGAGGGGGAAGCAAGTTCCCTGCTGAGCAGAGAGTCCGATGCGGGGCTCATTCCCAGGACCCTGAGATCATGACCTGAGCCAAAGGCAGAGGTTTTAACCCACTGAGCCACCCAGGCACCCGATACTGTTTATAAAATGTCTGTTTATAAAATGTCCCATGTGGTGTTATCCCATCCATTTTAAACATGTTCTCCACACACGCATGCGTACGTACATAGATACACACATATTTGTGTATACTTCCCTGTGCCATAGAATTATGGGTGACTTTTATTTTCTCATTTGTGTTTCTGCATTTCCAAAATTTTTACTCCCAGTACACATCCTGTAATATGCAAGCTACACATTTTTCCCTGGAAATGCAGGGACATATCTCTCAAGGGTGCAGCATCCTTCACATTTTTCCACACGACTGGATCTGCAGAAACTTACCTCCCTCCAGAGTGTATCAGCACTAATTTGATCTCATTTTCATGTAGTTTAGACCAGTCCTTCTCAATTTTTTTTCTCTTGGAAAGGAAATAGTAATGGAAAGAAAGCCTATTATTTTCCTGTTGCTTTCTGTTTTACAGAACTTTGTCACACCTATATTTAAATCTGCGGCTCTTCCTCTAATGATCTGTCAGGTGCCTGGTACATGATTTGTACAATAAGTATAGACAGAACAGGGGACATAGAGCCAGACTGTGGTTCATGCTTCCTTTATTTTTGGGAGGACTGAGTTTAGAAAGTCTCCTGAGGGGCACCTGGGTGGCTCAGTGGGTTAAAGCCTCTGCCTTCAGTTCAGGTCATGATCCCAGGACCCTGGGATCATGACCTGAACTGAAGGCAGAGGCAACCGGGGAGCCGTTTCCTCCCCTCTCTCTCTCTGCCTGCCTCTCTGCCTACTTGTGATCTCTCTCTGTCAAATAAATAAAATCTTAAAAAAAAAAAAAAAAAAAGAAGGTCTCCTGAAATCGGCAGCTCTGAACAAAGTATGCTTTACTGATCTGTGTGTGTATGTGTGTGTGTGTGTTTTAAAGTACAGCAACAGTGAAGCCATTTCTCAGGAATGGACAAGTGCATTATTTCCAAAGTACTTTAAAGACTTCGTTCCTCTGTGTCTTTGCTGATGTTATTCTCTCTTTCTGAACTGCCCTTATCTCAGCATCCTAATAGCTCCTTTGGGATCCAACCTAGAAGTCATCCCCTCCTTGTGTTTGTCCTTAATTTGCATTCATCTACTCCAGACAGAGCAATCGCTTTCTTATCTGGATTCTCAAGATGCTTTATTTCTACTACAAATATAGGAATCATCGCATCAAGTTATTTGTATTTTTAAAATATGTATGTTCTTTCCTCCAGTGAGACTGTGAGTTCTTTGAGGCAATGATCATATCTCATATACATTTTCTCAGTATTCATTCTCTGAAAAGCAAACACCAAGACAGGATTAGATGTGAAAACACTTATTGGTAAAAATGCCTGTGCAAGATAGAGATTGAAAGCAAAAGCAGGCAGGGAGGGATAGTTCACACAGTGGAAAGAGGAGGAAGGAAGGTTGAGGAGGGAAGACCCACAGACTGCAGCCCAGTGCTAAACACCTCTCAATCTTTTTTTTTACAGAGAGTCAAATGTCATTAACAAAAACTAGAATCAATAAAAATTAACAAATGCATGAAAAATATACACACCTAGCAGCACTATGTAGTGACTTACAAAGGGAAAAAGCTGACCACTAAATGGCTGGTCAGCTAGGGGAAGGAAACACACACACAGAAGCATGTGCACTCCTGTGTGCACACACACACAAAAAATCATTTCCAACAGTACAATCAATCTATAGCTAAGATAGATTCCAAATTATTTTCCAACACTTTCTTTCTTAATACAAAAGATGCCTCTGTGTGTGGGCTGTGTGTGTGTGTGTGTTGTGGTTTACTGTGACTTATTTCAAGTATATTAGCATTACTACATACATCATTTCCCTGTATCTAAACCTTTCTTTTATGTTTTACTTTCATGTGTTTCGTTCACCAACCAAACAGTTTCAAGTTGGTGGGCAGATGGGTGCCTTATTCTATGAGCAATCACATGCAACAACTTTAATAGGGATTCCTATTAGAGTAGGGGTTTTCCAAACAAAAGTTGTTCAAAAGAGTCACTGGTTGTGCAGAAATTAGCTGGCACTAGAACCCTTCCCTGCCAGGTCTATAGGCTGGAGCAGCTGCTGTAGCTGTTCTAGAGGGGAAGCAGTTGGGGCTGTCAATCAAGATACGTTGTCTGCCTTTAAATCTCCCTACCCTTAATCAATTTGCAAATTTACTTAATTTACCTCAGTCTTCTCATCTGTAAGATGGTGGTAAGATAGGCTACACTCAAAGAACTGCTGTGAGGCTTAAATAAGTAAGATGCTGCAATTAGTGCAGACCATGGCACGTGGTGAGTGCATGATAGATGTCCGCTTTTATCTGTACTTAGCCCGGTACCTAGCATGTTCTGGGTACTCAATAACTTTTAGAAGACAGCTGTAAACAGTTTGATGAGAGTAGAAAATGGAGGATTTCTCTCTGCCTGGAGAATTGGAGACGTGTTAGCTCGATCTTGTCTGGTGAGCAGTTGTTTATCACACACATAACAGTTCATCCTGCAGAGAGCCGGCAGCAGTAGAGAAGAAGGCACAGAGACACAGAAGCACATGGCTTCTGTAGAGTGAATGGAGAAGGGAGTTTGTCTCACACAAATCATGTTTATATAGATAAGCTCACGAAGAGTTTGAGACTTTCACTGGTTATTATCATAAAGCAAACGCACGCACAAGAAATAAAAGAATAGCCCCTTCATGACAGTATATGCTCCAAGCACTGAGATAAGTCTTGGTCAATTCAGAATTATGTATTTTATTTACGACTAGTATCCTTTAAAAAGCTTCACACTGACTCATTTGATCACCTGCATATTTACAGAACTCTATCGAGTGGCTTTTAACTCTTAGATTAACAAGCGCTTTATATGAATGCGACCACTTGATCCAGGAAATGTTACAGATTGTATCATCAATTCTGCCTTGGCAGTGAACATAGTGAGAAAACCCTACAGCGCAGATTCCAGGTCCTGACCTGGTGCCAGCACTCTGTGAAGGCAAATTAACTTCCAGGGATCTTAATTCCCTCACAGGATAAATGTGGTTAGACAGCGTTTTGGTTTTGATTTTTTTTTTTTTTCCCCTTACTGATCCAGGGTCTGCTGTGAGCCAGGTGCTTTGCTGGGGACTTTTGTGTATAGGATCTCATCTAATCCTCTCGGTAACCTTGGTCTGACCTCTAACATCCTTTCCTCCGCCCTGGGCCTCTGTCATTGGCTGTTCAGGGCCCAGAACAGCTGCTTTCATATTTTAGTTTTGCTGTTCTGTTTGACTGAAACAAAATGAATGAGCCATGATATTCTCATGTTCAAAAATGGGCTTTGGAGAGTACAAATTTTCCCAGGCTTGGAAAAGCCAACATAGGCACAAAGAATTTTGAATCCCTGTTTGCTGATATCTGCCAGGGATATAGTGGGCTGCTGATTTGATGATTGTCTGGACACAGGATCTGTGCCTTTGTCTCTTTTCCTCGTGCAGTACTTTGCACGTGATAATAAGAACTCAAATCGTGTTTTATGGAGGAAAATATTTTATCTATTTTTACTTTGGGATTTGTGATTCTTGTGATTGAGTGAACTATCATTTTTAGATACTAGTTTTGGATATTTTACCATTTTACTGCTTAAGTTTAACCTGGGTCCCATTTGTGGGTCTCCTGACATGTAACTAATGTATATAATTTCTTTATAATATATTTCCAAAATTAGAGTAATGAGAATATCATGATGTTGCTAGGATTAAATGAAATAATATATGAAAACATTATTTATAATATATAAAGTATCATATAACTGTTATCATTGTTGTTATATATCCAAATTAGGGTTTTTCTTCACAGTAATCTCTTAGGAAAAATATAGTTATTCTTTTATTATATTATATATGTTATATTATGTATATATATAATTTAATAATATATATTTATGTGTATATTATATGGCAAATACTATATAATATTGTGTCATATATTATAACATATATATACAGTATACATGTATAATATATATCATATATTATGTATTTTGTATATGGTGTATATTATTTATATGTGTACAATATAAATACTACATTGTATATTGTATATACTATATATATACATAGTATATACAATGCTTTTAAATCAGATTTTATTGATTTTTAATAACTACTTAACTATAAGGAGAGGCTGACAAATTACCTAATAATGGTTCAAGAAAAACCTCAATAAATAGGAGAAATTGGAGAATTCTTTCATCCAGGTGACCAGTTAAGTAGCTGTTCTACAGCCTTCCAATGATAGTCATTCTCTCTCTTGTCTCTGTCTTTGCATAACATTACAGGCAAGGTAGTCTCAGTACCGGCTCATACCAGCACATAAGAGCTCAGAAATTTTATGAGCCAGTTTTTAAAATAGCCATTTTTTAAAATTAAATTGTATCAACTTAAAAATATAAATCAACTATATTAAAATGAAAGGTAATGCTCAAAACTCATCACGTCCTAATTGTTAATTCTACATTTTTATGATGATCTCTACATTTAAAGTTATGTATGGCTATTATACCCACATGGTGGGAATATTCTATAATGGTGAGCTCCTGCTTTCCCATCTCTAGTTCAGTGACATCACATTGGTAACTTGAAGCCGACCATAGTAGGAGTATCTAGAGAGTGAAAATAGGTGAACACTCCACATCATGCCTTGATTAATTGTGTGTCGATTGTCTAGACTTAAGAAGGTGGCGGATGAATATGAACAATACAGATTAAACTTAAAAGCATTGTGTCTCGAGTCATTACACAAAATTGTGAGTGGCACAAAAATACAAGGACATATTTTTCCCATATTCAGAAGCTAATATCTGACTTGGGAAAGAAGTCTCTATGTCACTGATGAACCTATGAAGTTCTGACCTGTATTTCTGAAAGGATCGACATTCACATCACAACTACATTCAGTCCTCAGTTGAAACCAGAAATTGGTTCTGAATACAAGATTTTGTCAAAAGTCAACAAAAGCATTTGGGAGCATTTAACTATCTAAAATTTTTAATAAGGAGGTTTTTATATATTTCAATAGAATTCATTCTTTAGAAAAGTTTTCGGTTCACAGTGAAGTTGAGCAGCAAGTATAGACAGTTCCCAGGTACCCCTGCCCCCCCACATATACAGCATCCTGCACTGTCCATATATCATACCAGGATCTTATATCTGTTACAACTGAGGAACCTACATTGACACATTATTATCCACCAAGATTCATAGTTTATGGTAAGTTATGCTCTTGGTGCTTTACCTTCTGTGACATTATAAATGTATAATGACACGTATCCACCATTACAAAATCACACAGAACAGTTTTACTGCCCTAAAAATCCTCTGAGCTCTGCCTATTCATCCCTGCCTCCATCCAAAGACTGATCTTCTTTCTGTCTCCATAGTTCTGCCTTTTCCAGAATGTCATATAGCTGGAATCATACAGTGTGTGGACTTTCAGATTGGCTCTTTTCACTTAGTAATGTATGTTTAATTTTTTCCATGTCTTTTCATGGCTTGATATCCCATTTCTTCTTAGTACTGAATAATATTCCATTGTCTGGACAGTTTATTTATCTACTCATCTATTAAAGGATATCCTGATTGCTCCCAAGTTTTATCAATTATTAATAGAGCTGATACAAACATCTGTGTACAGGTTTTTGTGCATACATTTTTTACTATTTGGATATTGTATGCTATACTTTCTTTATATCAATAAAATGTATAGTAAACTTATGTACAAATATACACTTATATTTTAGTTTTTTTCTTCTTCTTTTTTTTAATTAATTAATTTATTTATTTGACAGACAGAGATCACAAGTAGGCAGAGAGGCAGGCAGAGAGAGAGAGAGGGGGAAGCAGGCTCCCTGCAGAGCAGAGAGCCCGATGTGGAGCTCCATCTCAGGACCCTGAGATCATGACCTGGGCTGAAGGCAGAGGCTTAATCCACTGAGCCACCCGGGCGCCCCTAGTTTTTTTCTTCTTAAGGATGTACCAGAACACCATTGCTTAAAGGTCATGGTAAATACTTTGGCTTTTACTCTGAGTGAAATGGGAAGCCACTGAAGGATTTTGAGCAGGGAGTGCCTGGCACTGTTGAATGTTCACTCTAATTGTACTGAGTAGAGACCTTGGCAGAATAGAAGCAGGGAGATAGGTTAGGAGGTGATTACCTCCGGGTGAGAGAGGATGCTGACTTTGGTGAAGGCTTCTAGTCTGATCTAATCTAGATGAGATTCCTAGTACATCTCTGTCCCTTAGTTCAATTTCCCTGGGCTACCTTGTGTCTGGCACAATGGAGGGCAGTCTATTATATTACAAAGCTCCCCTCTTTTCTGCTCCAGATAGGAGCAAATTGATAAAAAAGACAGCAGTCAGCCATTAGGAAACAAAATAAACCTTTTTTTGTTGCAGTGACTGGTTGACTCCCTTGGTACGGTGTGTGACTTTTTTTTTTTTTTTTTAAGATTTATTTATTTATTTGACACAGAGAGAGACCTTGCACATAAGCAGGGAGAGCAGCAGGCAGAGGGAGAAGCTGACTCCCTACTGGTCAGGCAGCTTGATGCAGAGCTCCATCCCAGGATCCTGGGATCATGACCTGAGCCGAAGGCAGGCACTTAACCAACTGAGCCACTCAGGTGCCCTGGGAGCATGTGACTCTTGATCTCAGGGTTGTGAGTTTGAGCCCCATGTTGGGTGTAGCAGTTACTTTAAAAATAAGATCTTTAAAAAAATACCTTATCGTCAATACAGTTTGGGTTGAGGGATGTAGCTTAGCACGGGAACAAAAATGGTCATATTAACTCCCTTTCCTCCAATCTAGGCCTTGGAACCTGAGAGAAACTTAGTCCACAGAGTAGATAATACACTGAATGGAGAGAGAGGAAAAAAACACCCAAGCTTATCTCTTTTTCTTTTTTTCTCCTCTCTCTTTTTCCCTGAATGTAGAACACAAGGATTTTACATGTCAAAATACCGAACCGTAGGAGATTTTTTGCTTTATTTTCTTCTCTTCTTTTTTTGCTCATTAGAATTCTCCTTTTTAGGTGATTTTGCACCCAGAGTTTCTATCCTCCACCAGTCCCTTACTACCCATGGATTATGAAGAGTTTGTCCGAGGTTGTCATCTTGGAGTATTTCCATCTTACTATGAACCATGGGGCTATACTCCAGGTATGTGGCATGTACAGATTATGGAATGTTTTAAATCTTATTAATCTATTATTTTATGCACATGGATATAATATTCAGAGTTGATATGTAATTTCTACTAAAGTTAAATTATAATAATATATTGTATTACAAGAAAAAAATGTGTTATAAAGGGTACATATTATTGAGTTATCTCTCTGAGTCCCAACTATTCATATAAAGGAGAAATTGAGTGCAGGTAGGTTTAAGATGAGAAACAGTGGTCCAGCAACAGTGTTCTCTAAAACTTATGATAATTTTTAAAAATTAATGGATGTATTTAATTTTTAATATGTACCACAGTCACATAGTTAAAGAAACAAATAGTATAAGAAAGTAAACAATGAGAAGTCTTCACACCATAGTCACTCAAAAAGGAGGTACTTTTAAGATAAAATGTCAATTCAGTGACAGGTATTGTGACCCTGACATCATTCCATTCAGACCCTCCCCGTCTTCATCTACCTTTTTTTTTTCTCCCCAATGGTAGATTCCCAGATGCACTACCTATTTTCTTTTTGTCCCCTCTGAGTATGTTTGTCACTGGTATCAAGAGTGATCAATTTGTATTTGGACTGAAATGCCTAATTAAAAAGGAAACAAATACTTCAAAATTTAAAAACAAATACTTGAAATAAATGCCAGTGGAAAGAATATAATATAATATTGATCTTTCCATCTCGTATTAGTAATTTGAGATTTTCCTTTTTATTTAAATATAATTCCATTTATAATTTTAAAAGAAAAGGTTCAGAAAACATTTTTATGAATAATTAATAAATTTTGTTTTCTGATCTCAGCATCATCATTGCCCAACCAAGGGGTAGCTGTAGTCAAAGTTAGGGAGATCATGGTTGAAATATGAAGAGGAAGAATTTTTCTAATCTTTGTATTCTGATCCCAGAATTTTAATATAGTATTTAAAATTTTATGTAAGTAGGATCTTTACATAAGAAGCAACATGAAATCACTGCATCTTTTGACATAAGGTCCTGTTCTGTTGTTCTAGGTTCCGCCAAGAATAGTTTGCCAGCAGCTGTAAAAATATTAAAACTTCTGGGGAAAATAGATAAAATATTATCTCCTCTTGAAACATGACACAGAAAAGCTATTGATCTAAAAAAAAAAAAGAAAAGAAAAGCTATTGATCTAATTCTTCTAGCTGTCTCTTTCGTAGTTCTAAAAATTGTTATGGGTATCAGTTGTCACTTTTATAAAGATGGTGTCTTCTTACTTATGAAATAACTTTATATTATCTTAAATTGTTTATAATTGAGCATCTATCTTTTAAGATACATAAAATGCATATTTCATGGATGAACTTAGCATTTTGTTATTGACTTGTGTTCCTATTATTTCTAGTAAGTAACATAATTTATTATCAAGGAAGTTTCAAAAATAGAGAAGCACAAAAACCAAAGCCTGAGTAACTGAAGGATGTGGGAAATTATTATGTTGGGTAAAGAGAATGTTCTCTAACTTACAGCAGACTTTCCACCAAATGCTTAACCCAAAATGATAGAGGAGATACATCTAGTATTTTAAGATAAAGACCAGCAAAAGTGTTATAAAAGATAAGCAGGTGGAAAAAGAAGTTTGAGAATGAGTCATTCTCTGTTTTGAATTAACCAAAGGAAGTTGGCTATTCCTCACCTAACCTGTAGTTACAGAAATAACAAGACCTCTGGTGGACTAAGTTTGGTGTTGGCATATTAGATAATTCTAATTTTTTTTAGAATAACTTTTTATTTGATGCTAAGTTTAACACACTCCAGAAAGTATTCATTTAAGTCTGTGTTTTGAGAAAATCCAATGAATATAAATACTTATTCCATTAAATTCCGTGGAATCGTAGGCAAAATTCTTTCTACATACATGCATAAGGATTTTTCTGGGGATGAGTTCTAGATTTTCATCAGATTCTCATGTGGGTCAAGAATCCCTGTCCCATTTTCTCCTCTACCACTCCCTCCAGAAATTAGGAAACCACTTCTCTCTAGAGATAAGCCATGAGGCAATACTTGCAGAGCAGAAGAAAAGACCACTCACTGTCTAAACTGCATTATTTCTTGATTAGTGGGGAAATCTTTTTTTTAACCCATCCCCGCCAGCCAACCAAGTTTAATTCCACAATCATATATAAATTCCTTGTTAAAAATGCAGGCATCCTTGTGAAAGGTAATACTGCTTAAAAGAAACATATCCACTATTTTATGAAAAACAGGTTTTGACTAGAAGGGGAGAGAAAACTAGGGAGGGTATGGGTACATTGGACACTTGGGGAAGTGGAGAGATTTGTGGCAAGGGAGATTAATATGATGAGAAGAGTTGCTCATGTCCAAAACCCACAAACTCACCACATGCTTAGACACAGCTTAGAATGGAGCAAAAAGAAAACAAAGCCAGCTGGAATGAGAGAGGCAGGATAAAACAGCAGTTCCAAACAGGAGCCCTGGAGCCAGGCACCTGGCTTCGAATCCCTCTACCCCATTCCCTGGCTGTGTGACATTGGGCAAATTATTTAACCTCTCTGTGCCTCAGTTTCTTCATCCGTAAGATGGAGATAATGGCAGTCTCATTTCAAGTAGTTTTTGAGATTAAATGAGTTAATACCCGTAAAGAGCTTAGTACTGTGCCTGATACAGAATAAACATCACTATTACTAGGCAGACGTGGGCTTCTCCCCCATCTATGTGCGTAAGTGGATATAGGAGTTGATCTGAAGCCAAGCCTTTATCTGTTTCCCCTGGCAGCTGAATGTACCGTGATGGGTATCCCCAGTGTGACAACCAACCTTTCCGGCTTTGGCTGTTTCATGCAGGAGCACGTGGCTGATCCTACTGCGTATGGTGAGGTTTTTCATCATTCACCTGGCGTAGGGAGAAGTAACCTCTGACAAACAAAGCACAGGGTCTTTAGGGAGCCTAACTCTAGAGCTATCCTGATGATTAAAGTAATGTTTATACTTCTTGTTTAATGGAAAATAGATTTAATTATGTGATTCATAGAAAAGATAAAAATGCTATTAATATTAAGTATATTGATGTTATAGTAACTATGGCCTTAGAATATATAGACTGGTCAGTGTCATTATTTTAAAGGTCTGTGCCAAGTTAGCAAAATTCACTAGAAATTGTTTAAGATGGCAGAAGAATTTGCATACCACCATCTCTGTGTCCGTGTTGCCTAGCAGCAAGAAAAGCGAGATGGGATGGATCCTCTGCCTACACATTGCCAATTTCCTGGTCTTCTGCAGTCTCCTTGTCACGGTTCTCTTTCCTCAGGCTAGAGCTGTGGTTCTCAGCCAGGGCTGCATGGTGGGAAAACTGGGGAGCCTAAAAATCACTGATCCCCAGAGATTATGGTTAATGAGCAGTACTAGGGAGAATCATTGATCCAGGGTATTCCCTCTACTGCCAAATTTCTTTGCAAGATCCATTGTGTTGCCTGTCTGTTGGTGACGCTTGCAAACCCGTAGAAGATCACAGAAGAAATACAGCATTGGAAGGGAAAAGATAAAGCAGAGGCAGTAGGGGAGTCAGGGAGTAGATAATGAGTGTGGTGGTCTGTGATAGAACCTAATGAATGGAAGAAAGATCGTTCTAAGGTTAGCCCTGTGTTTACCTGGGCTTTGGTTTTTGTGCTCCTCAGGTATTTACATTGTTGACAGGAGATTCCGCTCTCCGGATGATTCCTGCAATCAGCTGACTCAGTTTCTCTATGGATTTTGCAAACAGTCACGCCGCCAAAGAATTATTCAGAGAAACCGAACTGAGAGGCTCTCTGATCTTCTGGATTGGAGATACTTGGGCAGAGTAAGTTAAGTTTGGGATCAAGAGAACCGCTTAAAAAATCCCACTAGACTGGGGCCCTTGGGTGGCTCAGATGGTTGGGCACCTGACTGTTGATCTCATCTCAGGTCTTGATCTTGGGATCGTGAGTTCAAGCCCCGCGTTGGAATCTGTGCTGGGTGTGGAGCTTACTTAAAAAAAAAAAAAAAAAAAAATGAATATCTCACTGGACTATAAAAATACAGATTCTAATCATCAACTGCAAAGTCAACTCTGTAACATAATTGTTAAACTCTCAAGTGATGTTTTCATGTACTATTTTACTTTAAACAAGCTGGCAATGTCCTAAACCCAAATCTTCATATTTAGTTTGAGCTTATAGCAGCAAGTCTATCAGATCCATCTGGGGTATTACTAGTTAGTCTTTTGTCAGTGGTTAACTTGATGCATTTCAGGTATTATTTCATGAATATGAGGAAAACATCTAAAGAAACATTTTTATTTTGTTTGATCCTAAGCAATAATGTGACCATATTCCTTAAGCGTAGTGGAAGTGGGAATAATATTGTTTTCAAATGACAAATACAGGAAATACCTCCTTTCAATTATAGAACAGGTTTGTAAATACCCAGATGTAATGTATCTTAGGACTGGATGATTTAATGAAAAATAAATTGACTTTGCCTTCAGATCATGTATCTGCTTAGATGCCACTAAGCTCTCCTTGACAAATGATAGATGCTGCCATTTGCCGAGTCCCCATACACACTAATGCCAGTGCTCATCACAACCCTGGGTGATTCACTGCACTGTCTACATTTTACAATGAAAACAGAATGATAAGCCTCTTAAAAGTTATGTTTCTTTTTTTAAAGATTTTATTTGTTTATTTGAGTGAGAAAGAGAGAAAGAACACAAGCAAGGAGAGGGGCAGAGGGAGAAGCAGGCTACTCACTGAGCAGGGAGCCCAATGTGGGGCTCCATCCGGGCACTCTGGGATCATGACCTGAGCCGAAGGCAGAGGCCCAACTCACTGAGCAACCCAAAGGCCCCAGAAGCTATGTTTCTTATCTAAGGTTTCAAGCAGGATTTAGATCCAGTTTGTGATTATTCAGGGCCCAGCTTTTCCCTGTGTCATACTGGTTCTCTGTAGAATGAAGCCAATGTTTTCAGTCCCCTTAGCACTCAATTCAGAGCTTTCAGTAAGACCAGTATAGCTGTTCTCTTCAAAATTTTGTAATATTTCTTTTACTTATTCTCTGGAAAATAATAAAACTATAAACTATCAGGTTTTTCTTTTTGATTCCTAAAATTAGGGTGAATAGGTTCTTCACTTTAAGAATGTGTTTTATAACTAGGAGAATAAGATTTTATATAAGTTGGGCTTGAGATAAATAATTTTTTTTTAACCATGAGCTGGTTTTTCTATCACAGTATTATCAGCACGCCAGGTACCTGACATTAAGCAGAGCTTTTCCAGATAAATTCCATATGGAGCCTACATCACCACCCACGGTAACTATTTTATGTGTTGTGTATTTATTTCGGAAGCTAAATTTCTTATGCATGGTAAGTCCTCCCAATACCTTTTTATTTAGAATTAGTTAAGGACAGAAACTTTTATATTTTTTCATAATGTTGCCTTAAAGCAAGGAATTTAAAAAAAAAAAAGGCAAGGAATAGAGGAAGTAACAAATCAGATCAAGTCAAAGCCCTTGATTCTGAGTTAGCCTAATTTAGAAGCTGAGACAATGGTCAGTTAATTCATGTCACTGGAGAAGCATTTCCATATTAAAACTCTCCTTGCCTTAGTACTTGAAACCGCTGTGTTAGACACACATTCTTTTGAGAATTACTGAAAAATGAACTGGCCTGCTTTAACAGCAGGTGAATTCGCTAACCAAGGAAATGTTTGAATATCAGGTGACTCCTTGGCAAGTGAATTCAGGAACCCCAGGAGGCAGTGGACTAGATGAGTATTTATGTTCCAGTCAGCAGTGTCTGGCAGGGAGTCTTCTGAAGCTCTCTTAGACATTTATATTCATGAGACGAGCATAGGCTACTTGTCATCACATTCACCTAGAAGGATATAAGATAGGAAACGCAGCTTGAAGTAGGACAGCATCAGACATTTCTCTTCAGTGGAATCAGTCCTTAGAGCAGTCTGTGCAGCAGTCCAAAAGCCATACTTCTTTGCCCCGCCCCCGCCCCCACCGCCACCAGGCGAAAGATTAGGTGCAAAAAGATAAGACCCTTACCATTAGGTATGAGATCTATCTTAGCTTAGTAGTTTCGTGCCCCACAGGAGCCAAGATGTCATGTAAATCTCCACAGATCAGCGTCCATGGCCTCCACAAGGAATATGTACAAGTACGAGAGTCATCCAATTCAGGGATTCCCCAAAATCGCTGAGTTTAGATGCAACTTGCCAATCAGGAGTCCCTTTTACCATAATCAGTTTTCTTAATAACACAACTTACATTCCATCTATACCAAATGTCAAGGGAAACATCTCAAAAGTTAGCCCAAGGGAAAATTCCCTCATGCAGAAGGTGACAGGTTTTGAAAACCCTTCAAAATACTAATTCCAGCTTTCCTGTTCAGGATTAATTGCTTAGCTTGATTAGAGGCAGTTGCTGGACTTGATAATTCAGCTATATTCATTCACTTGTTCAACTGATTCAATTAATAAGTATTGAGCTCCTACTCTGAGCCAGGTCCTAAGTGAACAAATCAGCTCCCCCCCTTTTTTTATTGCTTTTGGGGCCAATATCTGAACCTTGAAATGATCGTATAGCTATGACATGATAATAATGAACACAAGTAGTTGAAATACAGACTGGTAAGTGCTGCAACTATTTTATACAGTTGTTCTCCCCAGTCAAATATGTGCTCTCTTCAAGGGCAAGAATCACATTTTTCTTCTTTGCTTCTTCAGTGGCATTATGGTGCCTGACCCATAGTTGTGCTTCGCACTCATTGATCAGATGATTTAGCTCCATGAATCTTAAGTGGAAGGGCAATTTGATTAAAACCTAGTGACTTTTGCTCATGTACTGAAATAAAAGTAACTGGTAGAATTTCAGGATCAGCTAAGTGGCCTGGCTTCAGGATTCATTCTAGTGGTAGCTGTCCATGGTATGTCCAGTTGCCCCTGTTCTGTAATTTTGTTGAGCAGGCCTGCAAAGTGGCATGGGGACTGACAGTATCAGTGGTGTAACATGACAGTTGATATTAAAAGCTAGGGAGTGATCACAACCCTGGTACACATCTTTGCTCTATCACTTATATGCTGCATGACCTTTGGCAAGTCATCTGGCCTCTCTAACCCTCAATTTTCTTCTATAAATGGGAAAAACACATTTATTGATGTTGTTACAAAGATTAAATAAGATTATGTATATACATACATACACACATATGGTACCTGACACATTTCAGTGCACAAGAAAAGAAAGCTATTTATTTAACGAATTTCTCTTAAGCTTGGTGGTACCACAATCAAAAGGAATCAAAGATAATAAGAGCCCATGAACAGACCACAAAAAAAAAAAAATCCAACTATGTTTTGTATCAAATGCACATGCAAAGTGTTTACATCATTATAATGTTTGTGACTTATTTTTGTCTTTGGCAGACAGAAGGATTTAAATACCCCAGGCCTTCCTCAGTTCCACCTTCTCCTTCAGGGTCTCAGGTCTCTAGTCCTCAAAGCAGCGATGTGGAAGACGAAGCAGAGGATGAGCGATACAATGAGGAAGAGGAGGCTGAAAGGGATCGGTTAAATATCAAGTCGCCATTTTCTCTGGGCCGTGTTCCTCGTGGGAAGAAAAAGCTACATGGTGAATACAAGAACTGAATTCCATGCTTGTCGAACAGAGCTGATGTAGTAAGAACAGAATAAGAGTCATTATTTAAAGAAATGAAAATGCTACAAATTTCATTTTCTTCTTCTAAGTGTGACCAAGGGATTTATTCTCTGCTTACCAAGGGGAAAAGATTAAGTGAATGGCAATTTGGTAATTTCTATTAAAATCCAAGTTATTTTCCCCTACTCCCTTCCCCCAGTAAATTTAGGCACGAAGAAGAATGTTCATTAAAGGAGGAAGACTGGAAGTGTTTTTAAAATGTTAATTTAAGCAATAAGAATTTTCATTTTCTAGTATTTATTTTTAAATTATCATCACCACAATCCTGTGCTTAGTATTTATACAGCTGCCATATCTACCAAATAAACCTCCCATTTTTCCTGCAAAAGATCCTGATCTGAGCCCTGGACATGCCCTACATACATATTTTAAATAATTCTGTCTTTAGTGATTATGTTCATGTTTCACATGATTCAGAACCATGAGTTTCTATCTTTGCACACAATCAAAATCCACAAGAAAAAAAGCTATCTTAAATTGAGATCCTGATACATATTAACACATATTTACAAGATCATTTCTCAATTTAATGGTGGGAAGATGTTACCATCTGCGCTATACCATCTGACTGTAACAATTTTTCTGTTCTTTAAAAGGAAAGCTTTCTGGAAAACTTGGTCAATCTTCTATAACTGATAATTGTTAAACCCAAATGAACTAATATATGGATATATAACTTAATATCCATATCAATGTATTAAGCTTTTGTTGATGTCTTATTTACAATTCTTTAGACATTTAAATGAGATAACCTGTATAAAACACCTGCTATGAAATAGTGCCTTATAAAGGATTATATTTAAAGCTGTCCTTCAAAAAATTAGCAAAAAGAAAATATAGAGTCTTCCTAATTATAATAAGGACAATGTCTCTAACACATCCATGATATGCTTAGAGACATTGTTACATGATTGTAGTTTAACATATTTATGTTTTAAATATAATGAAATCTAAATAGGCAAAAAAAAAAAACAAAAAACCCTCCTTCCCTCTTGGATTGTTCTTTTCCACAACTTGAGTATTGTTACACTTAGATAATAATGAATACCTTGATTGGCATACCAGTTCACCTGAGTCTGCAGAGGTTTTTAAAAAAGTTTTAGTCTGGGATGCCTGGCTGGCTCAGTTGGTGGAACACACGACCCTTGATCTCAGGGTTGTGAGTTTGAGCCCTGCATTGGATGTGGAGATTACTTAAAAATAAAATCTTTGAAAAAAAAGAAAAATTTTTAGTCTGCCCAGTGCTGGATTATTGATGGCAACAAGGGAAGAGTAACAATGGCCATGTGTGAGGTGGTTCAGGAGTAGTAGATGTTAATCGAGCTCTCCTATTGCCTGTCCCATTGTTCAGAAAAAGTAGATGATTGGTGGATATAAGCCTCAAATCAGGCCAGAGTGGAAGATGGTTGTGGACTCACCTCATTTAGAGGTTCAGAAAGGAGAGAAATAAATTACCTAAAACCTAATCCTTGAAAAATGCCTGTTAATGCCAATTAACCCAACATCTGCAAAGCAGTTTGGGAAAGTCTGCCAAGGAAATCAGAAAATATGACATGGATTTGTCTTATATTATAAATACACATTTGCAGAAGTGTCAGGAAGATCTCATGACAAAAAGGGGTTTCAAAGTTACAATAACCATGAAAATATATTCCTAGTAAAGTGACACAATGTGTGTATTCAAGTGATACCCTTGGTTGGTACCTGGTTGGTCCACTGTTATTGAAAGCACAAGGTTTCCCCAGTAAAATGGCTCAGTAATATATATATATATATATATATATATATATATATATATATATACTTATTTAAGTATATATTCTCTTTAAGTATATTAAGTATATATTCTCTACAGCAAACGTGGGGCTCATACTCGTGACCCCGAGATCAAGAGTGGCATGCTCCTTTGAGCCAGCCAGGAGCCCCAGAAAAATAGCTTTTTAATATAAAACTTGAAAATCCAAGTGCTTTTTTTGAACGGAAGAACAGTTCTCTGATTAGAAATGAGTACAAATGATAGAGCAGATGGAAACTCACGGACTTGCAAACACTGGGTGTTGAAAGGCATGTTTCTCCCCTGCACTCGCCCCTCCATTCAGACAGCTGCTGCCACTGGACTCCATCCCCTTGCTCCAATCCTTCCTCCCTCCCCAAGACTGACAAAGCCATGTGAGGAGCAACAGGTAAGGATGGTTCATAGATGATTGTGTCTAGCACAGTGCCTTATACACAGTAGCTGCACAAATGGATGGTCTCGTTGGGAGAAATAGAGGTACAAAAAATTGGTGTTTTTAAAGAATGTATGTATGCATAAGTTGGAGTAAAAGAACTATAGAAAATAGTTAATGTGTGCCTGACCAGCCCCCAGAAGACTTTTTTTAATGCATTGTCCCACCTGCCTTCCACGTTCAAGAGTTAGGGTGAACAGAGCAGGTTTTACATGTACTGATGAGAATATAAAGTGTTACAAGTGGTCTGCTAATAGTTTCCCAGGGCACAAAGAGGACTCAGGAGAGGGACTGGTTGAGGGCACGTGGGGAGGTCCAAAGGGTGAGGATACACTTCTGTGAATTCACATTACAAGTGCTGGCTTCACATGCTGGTGATAAGGATCAGATCACAGTAGAAATAAACTCCTACTAAAGGAATTCATAGTCCAGTAGGAGGGGACCAATGGGTTACATACCCAACTTTCCTGTTTCCTGTGGCTGAAGCAAACAGTGTAACTCAAGGTGGATAGGATATAGACTTTTATTTCTCATAACCAGATAAAGGGGAAATGCCAGTTGGAAGCTGATTTTAACAGTCTAGGGCCTCTGCCCTCTCTCCTCTCTTGGGATCATAATGGTGCTGTTGGAGTGGAAGGAGGGAGAGGAGGCATCCACTGGGGAGACCCGGGGAAACAAAATAATTGAGAGCCCCAGCTAGAAGGCGGATAGCCACAGGGGAGGAAGGATTTGGACACAAAGAGCCTAAGAGCAGCAGGAGCTGTGATCAGAGGGGCCACCAGTTCCACCTGGAGGTATTCTAGTACCTAGTGTGCCTTGTGGGCAGGTATTTCCCATTTTTAAAATATAAGGTATACAATTTGTTCATTTCAATTTTGAAAAAGATAGAAATAAAGAGAATTGCAGAGATATTCCAAGAGGGACAGAATGTTGTAGCAGGTGGGCATAGAGGCCTGTTTACAACTACTATGCTTTTTTTTGTTGTTGTGGTTGTTTTTACAATTTTTTTTTTCATTTGCATGGGAAGGGGGATTGAGTGGGAGGAGGGGCAGAGGGAGTGGAGAAGCAGACTTCCCGCTGAGCAGGGAGCCTGACTCTGAGCCCCCCAGGGGCCTGCAACTACTATATTAATCAGCACATCTGTACGGCAGAACAAATCCAAGGAATTCAAGCACCTATCAATAATACTTGATATTATATACAATGCTAATAGTCTTCTGATATGATACTGTATTATTTTAATAGTTCTTGGTCATTTAGAAAGTTTTTAAAAACTTTGTTTTAGTGTGAAACACTTGAGATTGTTCTATTTAGTTGTGGGTAGAATTATTTCATATGTTGTTTTAAAATAGTCTTGGAATAAGCATAATGTTTAAATAGCCAGTATGTACACCTCTATGTCAGATGAGTAAAATCTCAATAAACTGGACATATGCACTATCTAGAAAATCCACTTAAATCATAATAAATGACAAGTGCCTATTATGATACCACTTTTTTTTAATGTTAGCATTTTATTTTTTGGAAGAGATCAGTGTTACAATTACTTGAATATAGTTTCATTATTCAATTACGATACAAGATACAGACAAATCTTATAAGCAGGGTTTTGACTTCATAACCCTGAAATTGTAATTCCCAGGTACAGATCCACTCACATAAAGATATCCTTTAGCTACTGAATAATAGCTATATACTGATAACAATAAGAATTAACAATACTTTCCACTTATGACATTTATCAATAACAACTCTCAACTAATTAGGTCAAAAAAATTAACATGTTGATCATATTGTAACTCCAAATAAACAGGTTATTATGCTCACTGTGGATGTGTGTGTGTGTGTGTGTGTGTGTATGTGTGTGTATGTTTACAGATAGTTTTAAAAGTTTTCAGAAGGAGCAGATGAGGCATATCACCGTGTACTGATGTTATCAGGGTGCCTTTATATAATGTTTTAATGTAAAATAAAGCCTAGAGTTCTCGTCAATTACAAGAAGCAGAGTCTTTGAGTCGTTTAGCTGTGGAACAAGAGTTACCTCTGAAAAACTGGTTTGTTCCTTTTATACAGTGTACCCAGGAGCAGAGTGCGTCTCCATCTGCTTATTTCTCAGTAACTCCTTGAATTCACGGAGATCCCCAAAGAGCACAAAGGGGAGATCCCCACTACGGAACCTTCTACTGGCCTAACAGGTCCCCCCTCCCCCGTTTTCAGCAACTACAGTGAAGTGTTCTTATCACGGGCTTCTTCCCAGTCCCACCTCCCTTCCCCTTCCCTTCTTAACAACTTACTCTAAAATGAACTAAGAGAATACACTCTGCTCTTTCCCCTCCAGCCTTGCTTTTCCCCTCAACCCCCAGGGAGACTGGGGAGGGGGGCGGGTAGAAAAAGAGAGGGAGATTTGCAGCTGAGTGCAGGACAATGCAAGGGTAAAGGAATGAAAAATCCAACAATTAAGACTCACTAGATCAAGGCAGATACTTGTAACAAATAGAAAACATACTCTAAAGAGTCTCCAGTCTTATAATTACAAATGGGAGTAAGATATATGGTGACTTACACAGGACCTGAAGCCCTGAAAGAAGGCCATGATGTTTCCAGCTAAGAACCCTACATTCCTTTGCTTCTGGAAAGGATAAAATTGGTTATGCATGTTCCTAACATTACAACTGAAGTAAAAAGGGTGCAAGGGCTTTATTTACATGGTTCATGTTTTCAACAAGAATGGAACTGTATTTAAATATAACTTGGTCTACTTTCACCAGTTTAGTAAACTGTCTTCTAGGACTCTGGTTTGATCAAAGTTTTCTTCTCCAGCTGTAAGAAAAAAAGAAAAAGTACATAAAATAAACACACTTCTCTGTGTTTTAAAAGGGAAAAGGATAAGATGTAGAGAACCCTAAGAAATAAACATTTAGTTTCCTAAATTATGTTAACTCCTACACTTTGCTACTGAGAATCCAAAAAAGTGTGCTTTGATTGTTTTGGTTTAAAAATCTTCCTCCTCAGCTCAAGACACATAGGGGAACTCACATTTCACATCTGACTCTCCAGAATGAATGAAACTGTAATGTGGTATGCATGGTAGAAATCT